TATCTAATTCAGTTAATGTTGCAGATTTCACGCTGCACTGCGGGGAGAGGGAAACGACGCGGCACGCAATGAATTGGAATTTGATCTGTCAGCACTATCCTTATCTTCAGGACAGATGTTTTTATTTTATTTGGCTTATAATTCTTTACTAAATGTAGTATTTCATTTCGATGTACTCCGTCTTTGATTTGATTTAAATCAAATTCCTCGTCATTATAATTCGCTTCCGATAGTGAAGAAAGTGACACAGAGGTCATTGAAACAAAAAAATTTCGATTGACAAATTAGTCGGTATTCTCGACACAGCAATTATAGGACTTGAACAGCGGAACTTTGTTACTAAACAAGAAATTATGTCTGTTTAATAGAATTAAAGAGAAAGTATTATCACGTGAAACGAAGGCAACTTAAACAACTTGAATTGAAAGAAATGTATAATAAAGTAAACAAATAAATATTAAGCTTTTTCTTTTTGTAAATTTTGATACCCTTTAGATCATAATTGTTCTTTATTTCATAAATTACGGTTTCATATTTTTAATTTTATAATTTCTGCATGCCATCTTACCAGATTTAAACCGATGATCTATAATCCGGAATCCCCGAAGTCCCGATGAGTCCGGTTTAACGACTTTTGACTGTAGTAGTAATTTGGCAAGTAATACAAAAAAAGGGGCGGGGGGGATTTTTTGCAGAGAAAAAGTAAAGCTGTATTTAAGTTGGATCCAATTATATTGAAACTGAAAACTGTAACACTCCTTTGTTATGTAAAAAAAAAAAAAAAATTAAAAATAGGATATTTGTAAAAATTAAAAAAAAAAACTTTTCACATATGGCATGAAAAATTCTATATGCTCTTTGAGATGAATGTGATCATTCATAAAAATGTTTAATCTATAAATCAGAATTTTAAAACAATTCTAATCCATCTTGTATAGTTTATCACTTTTTCTGCTGACTACTGCTTTCTAACTCTGCAGTTGTTAACTTGAAAGGGCTTTAGTCTGGAACCTCAATTTTTAATCAAATCACTTTTATATTATATCATTTTTAATGTACACTGCTCAAAAAAAAAAAAAAAAAAAAATGGGACAATCCTATATCTCCCGATCTACTGGGCCGATTGACAAAATTCAAATTGCGTTCTTCATGTCTCGAAGCGTGACTTAGGATATATATTAGATTTATATATAGCACTATTCTAACATAGGTATTTGACACAAATCGGACTTTTTCTGAAATAACATACCAATTTTTTTACATATTTTGATTCTACGACTCAATTATGCCTAAATACGAAATTTTGTAAAATTTGGAGCAAAATTTACGGAAATTCACAAATTTGTTGGCACTTTTTGTCAGTTTGCGCAAACAAGAATACTTTACTTGGCGAACTTCTTAATATATGGCAACCTAGTTTCCTTTCCCGTGAGAGGAAAAAAAGTCACCATCGTTCCTTTTTTCCAAATAATATTCTCTATATTATATTTTTAATTATAAACTTATTATTTTAAGTAATTTTTTTCTTTTTCGAATATCATTTTAATTGTTTAAGTTGAACTTTTTTTTTTTTTTTTTCCGAATAACTGTTTTAAAAATTTTCTATTTACCTATTCAACTGCGTAAATAAAGGTGCAGCGTTTATTTATTTTTTTTTTCAAATATTTTTTTTTATATATATATTTTGTCATAGTTGTTATTTTAGGTAATTTTAAAATTTTTATACTTTTATTTTAATTGTTTGTGTTGCATTGTCTCTTCAGATAATTGTTTAAAATTTTCTATTTATTCCTTCGAACTGAGCATTTTTAAATATATTTTATTATATCAATTTTCCAGAATTTGATTTTATTTATTTGAACTGCGTTTCTTTCGGAAGAATACTTTGTAACCCAGACTACTATGAGTTTGAAAACTGCATACTATATTAAAGAGAAAATACAGTAAAGCACAGTTTTACACGCCTTTCAATGTTCCGTTCAGAAAGATATATATAAATAAGAGAGATGTATAACCGACATTTTAACTTAGGATGACTTGCATACACTGCTTTAAACAGTTTTATCATGTGCCCATTGCTTTTACACAAATTTTATCCTACATTTGGTTTCTTATAAAATGTTATTCATATTTTAGTCAAATATTTTTATTTTGAAATCGCAAGAATCAAATATCATAAGATTGAAAAATTTTAAATTTAAAAAAATACGAATACTAAATTTTACGAAAAAATTTATTTTTCTTCTCTTTTTCTTTAAGCATTCTGAAAGTATATTAGAAAGTATCCAACTTTTCGAAACATTTTGGTATTTCTGACAATCATTTTAAATAAAGTTATCGCCTTCCATTTCATAAAGGCCCACAAACGGCCGAGCGGTAAAGTCGCTGAACACTTGTAGTTCGGTCCGAGGTTCGAATCCCGCGAACGGGCTGGTTGCATGGGTGTTTTCGTGGTTTTCCCCGTATGTAACATGTATACGAGCCAGTTTTCCTTAGAAAGTCCTCCACGAAGGCATCCCTCCCTTTAGGCAGATAGCCCTCGTGTGCTTTGCCATAATCAAATAATCCAATCCAATCTTTAATTAAATATAATTGATTTGTAACTTCTACTAGAACTGACGTTAAGAATTGAAGTGCAAATAAATAATATCGTGTGCAATCTTGATTAATATGAAATTGAAAATATTTGCACAGAAAAAATATTTGCATTCAGACAGAAAGTTTTTTGAAATATTTGCAATTACTTTATAAGAAGGATTTATTAATAACCGTAATAATTTACTTATTATATTACTGATGATTAGAATTCAGTTCTTGACAATTACATTCTAAATTAGAATTTTAAGAATTATTAAATTTTAAATTAGAATAATGAAAATACGCTAACGCATAAAAATACATTTTAGGGATAAAAAATGAGTTGATTTTTTATGTTTTAAAACTTATTGAATTCATTTTAATAAACATCGTACCCTACGTTGTTAATTTGAATCCAGAATGTTGGGTGTCGTTTATATAATTATTCTTACTTGTCCACAGAATCTGCTGACTTATCCAGCCATTAAGTAGCTGCAGATCATTTCTACATAACCATTGAACTTCCATTAATTCAGTCTCTAGAGGGCTGTATGTTTATATCATGTTTTGATCTTAAATTATAAAAATGATTATTCTAAATCTTATGTTTTATATAAAATATACTGTGCTTTAAAAATATGATGATATTACCAGCCGCTCTTTCAGCCACTTCAAAAGCATCAGTTTTGTTTAGAAATAAATTGTGCAGTTAATGAAAATGAATGTCATAAAATTCAAATAAACATCAAACAAAATTCTCAGTTTTAGACAATTCGATTTAAACGAAGTAAGTAGCAGACGATAAAACGCCGAAGGTAAAAATTTACTCTTATTAAAAAAAAAAAAAAAAAAGGTAGAGAGAATTAAAAAAAAAATTAAAAAAAAATTCTTAAAAATCGCTTTTCAAAAATTATAAAAATTTATTTCAAAAAAGAGGAAAAAAATGTGCATATAATTAATTCAAACCATAAAATTTCTTGAATTTAAGAAGTAAATACTGGGCAAAACAGAAGGTGGAAATATCATACAAAAAAATTTGAGGGAAAAAAAATGATGCCAAAAAACAAAAAAATGCCAAAGTCAAAAATTTATGTAATGTGGTAATCAATTTTGTAAAAAGTTACAAATTTTTGTACGTTATTACTGTAAAATTCATACTGTGCCTTTAAAATCGATAGTAAACTGTTATAATTATAAAATTTTGATTAAAAAATGTATAACAAGATGGGTTAAAAATTATTTAAAATATTGAAAAAAAATAAAACACCAAAATGGGTAAATTTATTTGGAATGAACCTAAATTTCGAAATGTGAGAAAAAATCAAAAAAGTTTAATAAAAAAAAGATATAAATAAATATTTGCCAAATTCAATTAACATTGAGGAGCTAAAATTTTGAGAGCTAATATTTTAAAAACTACTCGTACGATTTTTACAAAACTTGGTATTCTGGCATAATTTGAGTCGTAGAATCGAAATATGTAAAAAAACTTGGTATGTTTATTTCAGAGAAAAAGTCCGATTTGTGTCAAAATACCTATGTTAGAATAGTGTTATATATAAATCTAATATATATCCTAAGTCGCGCTTTCGAGACATGAAGAACGCAATTTGAATTTCGTGAATCACCCAGTAGAACAGGAGATATAGCACTGTCCCTTTTTTTTTTTTTTTTTTTTTTTGAGCAGTGTACATGTCATTTTTCAAGTAAAGAAATGCCATGGTATTAAATAACCAAAGAGGAAAAGCTTTTATCATGTGAAAAGTGGTTGAGAAAGTTATGCAGCAACAACAAAGGAAACAACAAAACAATCATAGGAAAAACAAGCTCTTTTGGAACAATCATAAGAAAAACAAGCTCTTTTGGAACAATCATAGGAAAAACAAAAAAATTTTTCAATCACTTCTATTCAGAATTCTAACAGTTTATGACAAATAAATCATATGCATCCATGCAATATAAATGGGGAAGAAATGGTTTATGGTGAGTAACAAAGAAATACTATTATTATTTTAAAACATCTGTTTGAGAAATGTCTTTTATTTATTTATTTTTAACAAATACAGAAGAATTTGTTACAAATAAGAAAAGCATCTGTTAAATGTTGATGCAAATTTTTTATTTGTTTATTGTGTGCTTTCGTACCTTTAGTCTGTTGTAACAGAAAAAATTTTTAATTTTTTTTTCATAAATAACCATTATTGAGCACCTCTCTCATACCTCACTGGTAACAATTATTATATTATGTGCACAATATTGATCTTTACTATTAACTTGTAATTTGTGTTTGAAATTTGTTATTGCACATTGAAATAAATTTGAATAATAACACTTTATTATATAGCTAATAATTTATGATTTTTATGATATAAGTGATTTTAACATAACTTTTTATGAGATAAGCATTTCTTTTCTTTTTTCAGGATATTTTCATATCTTGATGTTGTATCTTTATGCCGGTGTGCTCAGGTCTCAAAGGTAATTAGGGAAATAAAATTTATCATCATAATAAATATTATTTTTATTTTGAAATATTCTTATGTAAAGCAACTTATGATTGAAAACAGGACATTCTGTAGATAATTAAGTCATATGTATATTTTATGAATAGTGAGAAAAAGGAAAATAAATATAAATAAACTTTACTGAACCATGAAATCCATTCACCTGTATTGGACTACTAGCTATTTTTAGGCAATGCAAGCATTTGTGTACTTGGGAGACCAGAATTTTCTTTATTTATTTTATTTGAACAACTTTTAACACTTGTCAGATGGGGAATGTATTTCAAAGTGTAGTTGGTGTTTTATCATGTAAGAAAAGTATAAAATGTAAGGAAAACTCCTGTAAGTATTTGTATGATATTCTGTTTGAAAAAGTATTGTGTGCTTCTTCCAAAAGATATGATAGCTAATCTCTTAATCAAGGTATCAGACTAACAAAATTGCTTTAAAAACTGTATCCTGTGTTTAAAATAGTGGCATTGTTAAATATATTCTTCACAATGATTTCATCATTACTTCTACCACTGTGTTTAAACAGCTTGTAACCAAGGTCATTAATTTCATTTGTCAAAAGTACTTAGTCTTAAATGCTAGGCTATTGTTTTTTCAAGGCTACTTAAACAAGGTTGCAGTCAAGCCTAAAGGTCAACCTTCAAAGCTATAACATCATTTATTTCATAGCCTCTTGCTTTAAAATATCACTTTAAGTGTATGATTATTTCACAAGAAATTGCTCAAGTAAAAAAAAAAAAAAAAAAAAGTATAGTTTCTTGCATTCCAACTGCAGATGAATGCAGACATAAAAGAAAATGCTGAGAGTAGATAGTGATGAAGTAGCATATGCAATGGATAGATCTATGTACTGAAATAATGTAAGATAATTAGTTTCTTGGGAAAGGACAGGAGTTATGTAAGTTTATTATGCTATTCAGACTAATCATGTAGATATTTGTGATAGAATTTGAGCTTTTATTATCAGCAATCATATGTTGTGATGATCAAAGTAACTCATTATACTTTTAATAACACATACTTAATGTCTTAAAAAAATTTTAGAACATATTAAGTGAGGTGAATTGGGGAGTGATAATGGAATAAAAAAAAAATTGTAGCTGTTGTGCAGCACATTCTTTATTATTTAGTTTGTTTAAGCAGTGAGAGAACATTTCTGGTCAAGGATATAGTGCCAAATGTAAGCACTGCATCTTTGATGTAAACATTACTCCCTAAAGTATGTCTTTTTTATATGCATCTGTAGACATTGATGTAATTTCACTAGATTAGTTTTCCACAGCTGAGCCAGTTTTTCACTTCTGTAAACTGTGTATATTTATAGGTTAACTCTTTAAAATCGTATACTTTTTTCAGATATTTGAGGAAAAAAAGCAGTATAATATGGTAATTTTTTAGTAACCTGTAGAGGTTAAATTCTTCCAGTATGAGTAACTTAACTGCAGATCTGTGGTTATGAGTAACATAACAACTGTGATAAAATAAAAATGGACTTTAATGCAATATTAAACCTTCATAAAGAATTTGAATAATTTCAACTACATTGATAAGAATACAAATTGTTAGATAAGTTTTATTTAAGTGCAGTAATTGGTTTAATGATGAAAATTAATTCTCTAGAAATATTAAACTGTACTTAGGCTATTACTAAGATTAAAAAAAGCAGATCTAAATCTTTATTCCCTACCCCCAACTTTTTTTTGCGGGGGGGGTGTCTCTTTTCATAGGTTCATAGTAGTATTGTGAGTACTTTGTTCAAATGTCAATCCGTTGGGAGAATGTGATCATTTAATGCCCTGGCATAGGAAAAAAAAAAAAAAAATATTCATTCAAAGTTTGTACTGAGAAATCTTGCTTAACAGCTTTCATTTAATCTTCTAAATTTCTTTTTTGCTCAGAATTAATATAAGCTGTTCCAGTTATTCTGGAGTTAACTCTTGGTGATTATGGCCCAAGATGATTTCTTTTCTTTTCATTTTCATATTTCCAAATGCTATCCTTCCAAGCTGCATACAATATCTACTGTATTATTTACCATAAGTGGTCTAGTGTTCTTTCAATCAGGTAAACTTATCATAATTTGCATTATTAAACTTTTACTGAATGGTCTATTATTCATTGCCGAATCCATGAAATACAGGAACCTACCTATTTGGACTAAATATTTCATCTGTCTATGTTAAGAAGGAACTTGGGATTTGCTTAGGGATTTGCGATGTATTTTAAATGAGGGAACAAAGAAATCAAGCAGTAAAAAATAACATGCAATAAAAAATTATAAAAATAAAACATATGTTTGAGTATTAACAAATTGAACAAGATTTGTCTGCGCATTTTTTCAGTCTCTTTTGTTTTTTCATGACTGTGAATAACCAAAACTGCAAGTGAGAAAAACCATGGTTATTGAGTGATTGCGATATATTACAGTCTCTGCTATTTCATTGCCTCCTGAAATTATCTGAATTACTTCAAATGTAATGAAAATATCAGAAATGGTTAGTGTTTGAATGGTATCACTACAAGGAACTGTGAATTAATAAAAATTATCCACACTAATTGCATACGTACACTGAAGATAACAAAACCTTGTAAAGCATTCTGTTGAACAAGCAAAATGAAGAATAGAGTAACGGGAAATATGAGATAGCACATTTAAATTTAAACAGTATGAAATGTAAATAAAAGTATTATCACAAGGCAGATCTTTTCTCATTGACATTCTTAGTTACAAGTATATGTAATAAATATAATACAAGCATATATAATATGCATATTATAAGTGATATAATAAATTCTTTCAACAAAAACTCTTGAAAACACATAAACAAATAAATAAAAAAAATCTGGAGGCTCATGTCTTGTTGTATTTCTGCTTACATGTACATACTTGTTCTCTAACTAATGGTATAATTCTCTGAAATGTAAAATTGGAAAGATTCTCAGTAGGAGGGTCAGTCAATTTACAAGCAAAAAAATATGTGCACTATGTAATAATATTTTGCAGTACAGTATTATTTGGTGATCTTCCAGAATTTTAAAGTCTCCAAATGAACCTTAATTCCTAACCTGAACCTAATCTTTGCTAAATTCAATGTTCACAATCCGCAGATAATTGATTTTCAGAACAAATATACAGTCAAAAGTCGTTAATTCGGACACCCATAATCCGGACCTCAAAGCTAAAAACTTTTTGCTTTGGCACATGCGCACAGGCGTTTTACGCGTGCTCGTAAGACCTTGACTACTGCGCATATGCGTGTGCGCAAGTTCAGAATACGTTTTCGCCTGTGTGTTTAATGTATAATGGACGGTGTATTCAGACTGTAAGTGCAATTTTATAAAAGTAAACTTGAACTTTTGATTATGTCAAATAGAATTTCCGATGCTGGAACTTCCAAAGGATCTACAAAACGAAAGTATGTTTCGATGTCCAACAAACAAAAAGTGGAATTGCTGCAAAAAAATGGATAAAGACATGAGAATGTGACAGAGAGGTTAGTGAAAACGAAAAAATTTCGATTGACAAGTTAGTCGGTATTCTCGGCACAGCAATTAACGGGACTTGAACAGTGGGACTTTGTAACTGAACAAGAAATTATGTCCGTTTATAGAATTAAAGAGAAAGTATTATCACATAAAATGAAGCAACTTTAAACAACTTACATTGAAAGAAATGTTTAATAAAGTAAACAAATAAATATTAAGTTTTTTTTTTTTTTTTTTTTTTTTTTTTGGTTGTAAATTTTGATACTCTTTAGATCATAATTGTTCTTTATTTCATAAATTACGGTTTCATATTTTTAATTTTAGAATTTCTGCATGCCATCTTACGAGATTTAAACTGATGATCTATAATCCGGAAAAATCGATAATCCGGAATCGCCGAAGTCCCGACGAGTCCGGATTAACGACTTTTGACTGTATAACATTTTAAATAGATTCAGAATGTTACTTTTAATGCACTTATTTTATATGTTTTATTCATTCTTTAGAAATTGCAACATATTTGTATTCAGTCAAAGACTGCATATTGAATGCAATTAAAATGCAGCAGTAATTGCTTTTATATAAACATTATGTAACTGCTGACTAGCAGTCACAAGTTTTCAAAATTATTTAATAACACAAGGAAGGTTGGCAAATCTTGAATCCAGGCTGATCTGAAAATGATACAAAAAATTCAATACATTAGAAAAGAACAATATAAAACCATCAAAATAGAGCTATATCACCAACTTACTTTTACATGTTTTCAATCATAATTTTACATCGATATTGCACACCTCTTGTTTTTAATGTTGTTTTTCTAAATGAACAAAACTCTTTGCATTTTTCTCTGTACCGCTTGTCTCATTCAGTTACCGTATTTGATGGCATATAAGACACACCCTTATTTAGACGGCCACAGACAAGGGAAAAAAGTTTCAATAGCATGGTTTCTTTTAGCACTCACATTTTGTAAAAGCCAAATAAACAATTATTGAATGCAATTACCTTCACGTATAAGACGCAAGTAACGTTTTTGAGACCAAATTTAGGAAAAAATGTGCGTCTTATATGCCGTCAAATACGGTAATAAATATTATAAATGGCATAAATAATTTCACTGCTTTACTGAAATTATTTCCTCAATATTTTACTGTGATCACAAGCTACATTTTGAAAAGCTGCTTCAAGCTTTATTTAAATCAGTGACTGCTAGTCAGTAGTCACATAATGTTTATATAAAAGCGACTACTGCTGTAATTTACTTGCATTCAATATGCAGTCTCAGTCTGTTACTTTTCAATTTTGTACGTGTAATTGTTGAAAAAATATACTATTGTTTATATCATTTCTTCACTGTATGTCACATCTGTATTACACATTTAATGATTTGATCCTTAATCAGTAAACTGATAATCTTTTTTTAAAATTTTTTGTTTATCCTATGCCAAAGGCATGACCGCATCAGAGACATTACATTATGGCATTATGGTGTGCTTCTGCTTTATGTGTGAGAGCATATGTCCGAAAACATTCTGTTCCAGTTCTCTAATGAGCATCAAGTGCCACTGTGTGTCATTTGGCATACACTAGCCATAAGCATAAAGCAAACTCTAGGTTGTTATTTTGTTCATTTCATTGAAATTCTTGAACACTGGTAGTTTGGTCCAAGGTTCGAATCCTGTGAACGGGCTGGCTTCATAGATGTTTTTGTGGTTTTCCTCATACGAGTCATTTTCCCTTAGAAAGTCATCCGTGATGCAAACTTCCCTTTAGGCTGATAGCCCTTCAGTGCTTTGCCATAAACAAATGAACCAAACTATGCCTAGTCTGTGAAAAAGGCAACATACTTATGTACTTTTAAAAAATCATACACAAATGACTTTTCTTCTTTTATTTCATTAAAGAAACATAATACATTTGCAGTGTGCCCATTTGTCATTACGATTTTTTGATTTCACATGATAGAAAGGAAGTTATAAAACACCCACTTGTATAAACTTAGATAAAGTTATAAAAGCAGCAGTAATTGATACCGAATGGAGTTTTAATTGGAAAACTGAAAGATGCTGATGAAATTTTAAATTACAGTAACTGTCTAGAATAATGTTGACCATCCTGAAAATTCCCCATAGCAATGCAAAGTGCGAGAGGATCTTCAGCGTTGTTATTAAAATGAGGACTAAATTTGGACTCAATATTAGAAATGCCACATTAAAAAAACTTTTATCAGCAAAAGCAGGTCAAAATCAAAGAGTTTCTTACTTCCTTGTATGAAGTAAAAAGAAAGTTTTGTAATCACGAAAGTTTCAGGCAGCGTATTTCAACGAAAATATCTATTTTGACCGCCGTCGAATGCAATTTAACGATGTTTTTACGTGACATCTGTACATAAAGACAGAATAAAAGACTCTTTTCCTCCAAAAAAAATTATAAAACTGCTTTAAAATGAATTCCAAGAGAATTTTTCACGGCATCTGTACGAAAGTACGTACATATCTCATATAACTCAAAAACGAGTAGCCTCTGAACGTTGAAATTTTGTATATAGGACTGCTATAACATGTAGATGTGCACCTCGTATTTTGGTTGCAATCGGCCGCACCAAACGTATATAAATATATTTATATATATATATCCACGCTGTTACCCGGCTCAGTGATCTCAGTTTCTGTACTCTTATATGTTTGTAAATTGTGCATTTTTTGCTTTAAAAATGATTGAATTATGTTGTTCTTATCTTCCAATTAAGTTTTTTATGTTTTTAGTAATCGTTTCTGGAATTTTTTCGAGGAAATACGTGTTCCTAGCTTTTGTACAACAGTTAGTACAAGTAATAAAAGTGTTTTTTATATGTAATTATTGTAGCATTATTTGCATTAAAGAATTAGTTACTATTAAAGTTAAATCATTATTAAAGAGCATATTTTTTGTATATATTTTTATTATTTAGAAAATATTGTCATTCAGGTAGTTCTTATGATTTGTTAAAAAACTCTCCTGATTTTTTAGTGTATAGTAGGTTGGCAAATGTGACATTAACTGCATTTCGGTTTGTCTAATTATAATATTGTTGTAAATATTTTAATATGTTTTGTGTTTTTGTTTTTATGTCTTTTTGTAGTATTTTATATTGTTTTTATTTATTTATTGTTTTTAGAATGGTAATTTTATGGTTTATTTAGGGTTTAATATTTTTCGTTGCCACATGTCTTATATTTAAGTATTTATTAGTTGCATAAAATTTAAGTGCAGTAGCTTTGGAATTGTAAAAGTAGCTCAATTAGAATTTGCATTTGGCAGTTTCTTCCCAATGGTGACTTTCTGGAAAACTCACAAAAACGCAATTTTGAATCCGTCCGATTAGTTCCTCCAGAAGTTTCCACAGCCTGTGCTGCAGGGTATAAATGCTGGCCAGAGATCTAGAGAGTTCAATTGTGAAGCAGCTATGAGATTTAGTGGTTAGCTAAATTATAAGTTAGAGTTTAGCCGGAGAGGGATTTAAGGAGCCGTAGGATTTATTTCGTGTTCTAAGGAGGAATGGCATTCTCCTTGAGTTATTTCCATCTGCTTTTGTGCTGTATATGTTTACACAAAAGTTTTTCCCTAAATGTTTATTTCTTGCTTATCTGAACTCATTATTTAAAAAAAATGTCAGTCATCCCATAGCTTGCAGCAGTATTTATTCTCCTCCACTCCTCACCGAATCAGTGAGAAAACTTCATTCACTCATGGTCTGACACATAAAAACTGGAATAATCTCACTAGAAACATGCAAACTTTCTTCTGTCATGTATTCAAATCTATAACTTTTTTTTCCACTTGTTATAAATTACATTAGTCTGTGATTTTTTGTCATGTTGCTTTAATATCGTTACTACTATGCTATCAGGCACATTTTGAAACTTTACTGTTTATGGCAATCTTGCAATTTCAACTTTGTGAATTTTTATAAAGTAATGCTGCTTATGTTCTTAAGTATTACAAAAAAGCTCTCATGTTTATTTTTGTAATAAAATATCCAGAGATTTAACTTAATGTTTTAATAAATCAAAATGTATTAAATAGAAGTGTTATAATAATTCATGATTAGTAATTAAATTGTGTTTTAAAATTAGGCATGGAACATACTTGCCCTTGATGGAAGTAATTGGCAAAGGATTGATTTATTTAACTTCCAAACAGATATAGAGGTATAATTTTTATTTGTTTGTCATGTACTTTTTATTTAATTGTAAAATTAAGTAAACAGACATAGAGGTATAATTTTTATTTGTTTGTCATGTATTTTTTATTTAATTGTAAAATTTAATGAGACAAATCTACAACTAATAATTTTATTTATATCCAGTATCATAATTAAAAATATATTAAATATATTTCTGCTGATATTATTGATGACATTTTTAAAAGCATTTTATGTCATTTTATTAATGGAATGTTAAAAAGTAGCCCGGCACATTATATGAGACTTGGTGCTCTTAAATGAAAACTAATTTATTGAGAGGTATTTATGAAAATTAATAAGAAGAATGAATTTTTATTGTTAATTTTCAGTGGTGATTTTTTTATTGATATTTAATTTTAAAATATGAAATAGTAGTTGTCAGTTTTATTGGCAATCAGAGTGCCAGGCAAACTTATTGTTGCCAAGCTCAAGTACCATACCCTCCATAAAAAAAAAAAAAAAAAAAAAAAAAAAAAAAAAAACCTTTTAGAGTAATAGAATTTTAACAGAGGTATAAAAATGGAATATCCTTTAATTTTTTTTCTAAAAATACAAATTATTTTGAATAATATATAATAATATTTTATAACCCTCTCTGGTATAAATGATCTAGTCATATGACTTGGTTTTGGGTTAGTTATATCATTTGATGAGAAATATTGCTTGGCAATTAGTCACTTGTCACCCATAAAACTGAGAAGTACTTATGAAACTAACTAAGCTGTAAAATTTCAAAATATTTAAAGGTATAATTTTTGTAAGAAAATCATGTAAGTTTTAGATATACTTGGTGTTTAAAATGTTAAGATTTTTAATTGGAAACAAATTTGTAGAAAACTTGAGGCTAATTTTGTGTTCACAATGAACATAAACTAATTCCATCTTTAATCAGCAATATTTCTAATTGTTTGAGGATAAAAGTTTTAACGAATTTATTGTATTCAGTTCATTTGATAGATTTAAACAAAATAAATGAAAATTTTGCATAATTTCTATGTTCAAAACAGTTTTAATATAATGAAATTTCGTACATATATGTGCTAGTTGGTCTTGTATGAACAATTCTAGCAATTCTTAATTGAATAATTCTTTCATTATTCTTGGAAAAAGATAATACAAATTTCATTGTATAAAGAGAAGAAATAATATAATTAATTACCCTACAGAAAATAATATTAATGACTAGTCCTGGAGAATTATTTTGTTATTTTGTCAGCAGATTTTTTTTAATTAACGAAATAAATTTACTGATATTCAAATTAGTATCACTACTGCTAATGTCAAAGCAAAATAAAATGTAAAATGTGTAAATATAATGGAAAGAAGTAAACTGCTCTGCAGAATGTTGAAAAATTTCAAAATATTTGTATATTGTGCGAAGAATATTGCTAGGTAAAAAGTATGCTGCGGCCAAAAAAAATGGGACAATTCTGTATCTCCCGTTCTACTGGGCCGATTAACAAAATTCAAATTGCATTTTTCATGCCTCGAAAGTGCGACTTAGGATATATATTAGATTTATATATATAGCATTGTTCTAACATAGGTAGTTTGACACAAAATCAGACTTTTTCTGAAATAACATACCAATTTTCCATATTTCGGTTCTACGACTAAAATTGTGCCTAGTTATTAAATGTTGTAAAATTTGATGCGAAATTTATGGAGAAATTCAAAACTTTATCTTGGCGCAATATTTTCAGTTTGTGCCAAGAATAATTCACTTGGTGAACTTATTAATATATGGCAACCAATTTTCCTTTCCCTTCCATTATTCCGAAGTGAGAAAAAAGGCACCTTGTTCCTACCTTTTTACATTGTGCATGAGCTGGGAAAAAGTTCCATCATTCTTTCTTTCATATAATTTTAGCAAAGTGTCTAAACCACATTTTATGTTTTATCACTTTCAACAAATATGCCAAATTTCAAAATGCACCAATATATATTTATATAATTGAATAAAAACTAATTTTTTGCAGGTATGCTTAGAAATACATCTACTTTAAGATGATAGTAAAAATTTTATAGATTATATAATTCAATTTTTTTTTGAAAAATGTATAAAAATTATTTAAAAATACAAATTTTAAAAATAAATCATAAAAAATGGGTGAATTTTATATGGAATGGACCTGAATTTCGAAATGTGAAAGGAAGAATCAAATCCGATTAATAAAAAAATAGAGATTAGTTAATATATATACCTAACTCAATTAACATTAAGGAGCTAAAATTTTGAGAGCTAATTTTTCAAAAACTACTCGTGCGATTTTTACAAAACTTGGTAGTTTGGCATAATTTGTGTTGTGGAATTGAAATATGAAAAAAATTGGTATGTTATTTCAGGAAAAGTCCTATTTTGTGTCAAAGTACTTATATTAGAACAATGCTATATATAAATCTAATACCTATCCTAAGTTGTGCTTTCGAGACATGAAAAACGCAATTTGAATTTTGTCAAGGGGGGATGGACAGATATGCCAAAAGCACTATTTCTTAATTATTATGTGTAATAAATATGCTACCTGAAGTTTAATGTTGCTTTAATCATTTACATTGGCTGTGTATAATAGGTTTTAGGGGGATTGTGTTTGAAATTTTTATATTTTGATGTTTTAAGTTTTTAATTATTTCTTTAATTTTTAGCCCAAAGAGGCATGAGACCCAGAGGGCTATTAGTTTCTAAATAACACTTTGTGTCATTTCATTTTCTGTATTGGTTCACTTTTCAAACTGTTGCCATGAAGTATATCACCGTGTATTATATTTAAAGAAACTAAATAATGAAGAATCGGAATGTGTGAATGTTTCTTCCTTTGTAAAAAAAAAACAACGGTACCTAGAGCCATCAAATTTTAAATAATGTAATCCTCCAGCTGAACATGGGCACTTGGAAGCCCAAATTTTGAATTTGTTTCATTCTCTATTTCAAATTTTGTAAAACTTTCATGAATTTTTTATTAACAAACTAAACGATCTCAAAGCGAACAATGGCAACAGTGTACAGAAGAAAGCATTTTTATCTCCAGTACATGAGACTGTGTATTGAAAATTCTAAAGATACAGTGCAAAGTCCGTAATCCGGACGTCCATTATCCGGAATGATCTATAGTCTGGACCTCAAAGCCACAAACTTTTTTTGTATGCTTTTTACGCATACGCGTAAAGAATGCATATACATTCCACGCCCTATACTTCCACGGTCATAACACCTTGGTTCTGTAGTCTTATTAGGTATAGCGTGTGCTTTATTTTGTGTGTTAGTACTTGAATAACCCTTATACTTCGTATCTCGAACTCGGATTTTCTCATAAATTTTAAATTTCTCTTTGAATTCAGAAATAGTTTTACACCCATACAAAATAATTTTGTTACTACTCTGATCTGGTATCCCATTGATTACATAATCAAGAATTGATGAATCCTCAACAGAACCGTGACTGGCTATTTCATGCATGGCAATTAAATATTCGGAAAGGGATTCACCAGGTTTTAAGTGTCATTTAAGTCCAGGCATAGTCTAAACGAACCGCATTTTTTCTACTCAGCACGATATTACTTGCATAATCAGAACAGTATGGCTTAATGATTTGTTTCTCTAACCATTCCGAAATCTGTTTTATCAATTTCTTTCCTGCCCTGCTGAGGGAGTGGGAGGAACATTGCGGCATGCAATGAACAGGAAGTTGATCTGTCAGCACTATCCTCATCTTCAGGGCAGATGTTTTTATTTTATTCGTCTTATAATTCCTTACTAAATGTAGTATTTCATCTCGATGTACTCCGTCTTTGATATGATTTAAATCAATTTCCTCATCATTATAAATATCATGAATAAACATCAAATAGTTTTCTGGTTGCAATTTTCTAATTTCAACAATGTATGCTTTACGCATTTGCGCATTGAAAGAAATGTTTAATAAAGTATACAAATAAATGTTAAGCTTTTTTTTTTTTTTTTTTTTTTTTTTTGTAAAATTTGATACCCTTTAGATCATAATTGCTGTTTATTTCATAAATTATGGTTTCATATTTTTAATTGTATAATTTCTGCATGCCAACTTACCAGATTTAAATTGCTGATCTATAATTCGGAAAAACCCCTAATCCGGAATCGCCGAAGTCCCGACGAGTCTGGATTACGGACTTTGTACTGTATGCTGTTTCTAAATATTTTGTGATATTGCTGTTGAATAGAATTTTATGTGGTGTAGGTGCGAAGAACATGATATTTAATAAATAAAGGTAACACACAAAACGTTAACGAAATGCTCCTTTGGGCGTAATATAAAATCTGAAAGCCTTCAGATTTTTTTTTAAACATATATATATGTCATAATTTAATGTGTAGAAGAAAACACTGGAACTTTTAACAGCTTTGAGATATCCATCATGCCTGAGGGCTGAATGCGTACAGATGAAGATGATGAAACTGGTTCATTTACAAATCGCCAGTCTTTATTTTCGCACATATCAATAATCGTTCTTTTGTAGGCAAGAAGTTTTTTAATCATAGTGAGAACACAATTATTTCCATGTGCACGGCTTTTAAAAGTATAACGTAAGCATTTTGAATAGGACAGCATAAGCAGGGCAGAGTTCTTTGCTAAGGAATGGAATCATGTATAAATTATGCCAAGAGTATTTATACCAAGTCTGATGTGTAATTACAGCTACTGTGTTATTGGCTAATTCTGGGTTGTTATGTAACATGGAAAGATTTTGAATTTGGGAGAACAGATAAATTTAGAGAGGCGAACTTAAAATCTAGAATAGTTAATTTTGAGAGGTCGTCAATTATTCTTAAAATAGCCATCATATTTTGTTTATATATTAGTTTTTTGTAATATGAATTTTTTGTACAATATTTAAAAAAAAAAAATTTTTTTTTCCTCTGTTTCTTTTTAGGGTGATGTAGTAGAAAATATCTCAAAGAGGTGTGGTGGATTCCTAAAAAAATTAAGTTTAAGAGGCTGCCAAAGTGTTGAAGATGCAGCCCTCAAGTATGAATTTTTTTCCCTCTGATACTTCTCTATTCTTATCTTTTTCAACTAATGTTATAGTTAAAACTTGCTGTTGTTTTAAGGTTAGTTTGATGGAATACTACAATTTTATTTTGCATTGACTTAATAGTAAATGTTCAGTTATTCCCTTATTAATATGGCCCCAGTATAAATTGTCAGTGTATGTCACAAATTTTTGCCAAATGGCTGGGCAGTCCAAATGACTGTCATTTATAGTCTGCCCATCATGAAAAAATATTTCGAGCAAGCTGTGTGTTATTGTATTGTATTATATTTTTTTGTCCTTTATTGCCAATAATATTAATTAATTTTTGTTTTATCGAGAAGTGAGAAAGTTGGTATATCATCTTCCAAGAAATTTTATTTCATGCTCAGATATGTTAAAATGATAAAATGAAACAGTATGTCAACGAAAACATGTAGTTGTGCAATAAGTAAAGTTGCAAGTAAAATAAAAGAATGACTGTTTCATTATTCCAGAATATAATTTGTAACAGCTTTATTTAGTATTGGGCTGAGCTGACATATGCAAAAATAAAACCATTAAGTGGAACAGTTTTGTGAAAGAAGCATGTTTTCTACATTTAATTTAACAACTTAAGAGGTGGACCTGAGAAAATATTCCTCTTTCGAAAAAACAGTGTTGGCAGTGTTCTTCCACAACAGTAGATATTTGGCAAGTTATGCCGAGAAACTGGTGGATGTTCAACATACTGCTCACTATACAAAAGCATTTGGAATATAGACAACAGTGCCTGCATAATTATAACCACCATTCTTGTCTGCTACTGTATCTTGGATAACTGTTTCCTTCTGGATTCAGCAGAAGTGAAGTAAGGGCAGATAGCCACATACTGTAGGACCACAACTTCACATATTTACAACAGAGAATGGTAGAAAAAGTGAATTAGAACACATTCAACATTTTAAATGCTCAACTGTCAACACAAGAACATCAGTAGATTTATTTTCAACCTGCTTAATAAATAGTACATGTTTACTCGCATTTCCAGTCCATCTAGAAATACTGCTCATCTTAATCCTTCTGTGGCTGGTACTTACATGGCATGCACTGGTAAAGTGATAAAACCTCAGCAGCAGTTTAATGACTGATTTATATATTGTCCTTTGTTTCATTGTTTTAATTATGTGATAATAAATTTTTAAAATTTTACATCTGTATCTTTGTTTACCATTTATTGCTTTTTTTTTTTTTTTTTTTTTTTTTTTTTTTTTTTTTTAAGTTTTCAAAAGAAAGAGGGAAATGTTATGTGTGTAAATTTAATCATAACTGTTGTATTACTTATAACCACAGTTCTACAACTTCCACTTTCTGATGTTTATCCTGCAAGCATGTATTTGCTGCTTTGTGTTCATGGTGTAAGGAAATAACCAGTAATCATAGTCTTTGGCTTTAGTAAAGACTTTTAGTAGGTTCATATATACCAATCCATACAATAGTTAGCATTGCTTGGTACTGTTGTGTGGATTTTTTTTTTTTTTTTTAGATGAATGAAAAGTCCAGAAAGGCGTTTATTTTATTGTGATAAAATGTATCTCTTATTCCGTGTATTTAAGTCTTAAGAAATCATTATGGTAGCATTTTCATCCTCATAAATAAATTGTTAGGCTTACATTTAATTATACTGTTAATTTTTAAATCATTGAGTGACAGGTTTTCGCCCTCCACTGTGGCTTTCAACTACATTGATTCGTATTCATATTGATCAGTGAAGGCTGCAGTGTGACAGTGCTGTGGTGTAAAGTTGCCAACACACCATATGTAAGTTGATCATTTTTAATAAAGGCAAAAAACTTTGCAAAGATGTCTCAACTTAAATGTGTTTGAATGATGATTAGTGTTTATACCGGAAAAAACAAATAATCCTTAAAAACTTGTCAGCGTATTTATATAAGTAAGATTTCTATTTGCCATTTTAGTCATAGAAACAAACTAAAATTCAGTTCCATAAATGTGTATGATCACACTAAGTACAAATCATAGTAGTAATCCAGATCTGCAGTTACTTTTATAAAGTTGAAGTTTATCTTCATGAAGGCACTTTATTAGAAATTGTGGTGACTTGCGTACTACAACTCAACGCTGCCAGTCTGGTAAACCATAGCAACCAAAAACAAAATAATTTTTATTCTGTTCTATTGTTATTATTATTAATGATCTGTCTCAATTATTGTACTACCATAATAAAAATTGTACCACCAAAGAAATCATAAAAACATTTTATTAGAGATTTCCATAAAGGCACTTTTTTAAAGTATCTGAATTGGCAAACAGTGGCCACCAAATGTGCTGACATCTTTATAATTTCATCCTAATCTTTCATACTGTTGGTTTAGGTTTAGATCTTCAGGTTTAAACTTTCAAAACTAATTTCTTTATAGTAACCTTGTTAAATGCTTTACATGATGCTATTCGATAGTGACATCATTATTGCTACTCTTGAATTAGTTTCTTCTCTTATTCATAAAGGAAATAGTCATGACTTATAATTCATTGCATTTTAAAAGTCATAGCGGTACTTTTTCGTTTCGCTGGCGCAAATCTTGACAAGGAGACTTTATTGGCGACAACATACAGTATACACATAAAAAATGTTAACAAATGTTAATTCTAAGAATTTAGTATTTTTTTCATTTTAATATCATTTAAAGTTGTTTAAAAAGCCAAAAAATAAACACAATAAATTTGTAAAAAGACATTAATATAAGAATTTACTATGCTTCTCACGTAAACTGCACTACAAAAATTTAATTTTCTCGCTAATTATCCACATTAATTTGACGTTAAATCTTAATTAGGAATACAAGTTTAAGTGCAAGAATTATTTCAATTTGTAAGAATAGCTTACTTAGCAATTATGTAAAACCGCAGTGCTTTACTTCGCTAGTGCATACTCATTAGAATTGATGAATTTAACCTTTGACCTTGCCTTTTCTGTATTTTCAGGTGAGCTGTATGATTGCAACCTATTTGACTTAATTACCGCGAATGGTCTTATGGCATAAAATTGAACTATCTGGTAAAAATTCTATGTAATTGTATGCCAGTATTGAAAGAAACAATCAATATGATAAGAAATGGCTGCGAATTGTTTTGAAAACGAGGTGTAAAAGGTTACCAGCGAGGATAATCTGTTTGGCATCAATTGTACATTTACCGGCGATTTTATCGCCTGCGCCGGCAAAACGGAAAAGTGCCGTCAAAGCTCATGGCATTGGCTGTGGCCCTACAAATAATGTGCTTAAAAAGATAATAAAACTTTATTGTCCAAGCCATCTTTCATAATTTGCCACCCAATTGAACTGCGACCTAGGGATGAAGTGGTTGCAACATTACATGTTATAAAATCTAGTATTTCTTGAAGATATTATTGTACTTTATTTTTTAATTTTTAAATTAGTGTTAATTTAAAAATGCATATCTTTTAAGATGTATAGTATTTTTTTTCCTTCCGTAATCTTTTCGTGATGGTAATATTGCTGTTCTTCTTTTCTTCAGAACTTTTGCTCAGAATTGTAACCACATAGAAGAATTGAATTTAAATGACTGCAAGAAACTCACTGACAGGTATGTAATAGTTCCTTAATTATAGTTTTACTTCTTATCTGTGCAACAACGTATTTTTTATTACTTTTGCAAATAATAATTATTAAGCAGAAAATTTTATACAAGGTATAGTTATCCTTCTGAAAGTAAAATGTATTTATGGCAATATCATTTCAAAATATTTTCATTTTGCTAATTAATAATTAAGGAAGATAATTTCTTCTTTACTATTATAATGAATAATTATACATTTATTATATATATTTACTGTATGAAGTATTTTGTTAGTGATTCAGTCATGTATATGATTTAAGTATGAGCTAATTTTTTTAAGAGAGACAGTTTTCAGTACCGCTGCAAAATGTGTTCTTTGCTGTAATAAATTATTTAATTGCAAATTTTGTTCACTTGTTTAAAATTTCCTTTTTACTTCCTTGTACGAAGTAAAAAGGAAGTATTGTAATTGTGAAAATTTTGGGTATCATATTTCAACAAAAATACCAATTTTGACCACTATCCAATACAATTTAATGGTGTTTTTGTGTCACATCCACAAGCAAAAACAGAATAAAGGACCTTTTTCCCCAAAAAAAATTATAAAACTAATTTTAAAAGAATTCTGAAGAGAATTTTTCAGTGCATCTGTGCATACGTATGTATGTACGTACGTATTTTGCATAACTCATAAATGAGTAGCCTGAGAATGTTGAAATTTTGTACGTAAAAAGTATAGTTAGTGAGAGAAGTTACTAGTACCGTAATTTCCGGAAGAAAGGCCGCATCAGCATAAACGCCGCACTTGAGAAAAATGGTGGGAAAAAATAAAAATTACACAGAAACAAGGCATTAGCGTAAACATCGCAATAGATTGAGTTGCGCATGACATCGTCATGGGCCGTATAAATGCAAAATCTCAACCTAAGTGACATATCAGTTAAAAATGCATGATATGAAACCATAAGTCAAAAAAAATTAAAGGTAAGAAATGTTAAAAATATATTTACGTTCACGTATATACTTATATTTACCGACTAAAGAAGTCCATATTTGAAATACTCAGACTATATTATAAAAATTGTTGCAACAATGAAATATTAAATTTGGATGACAAAAGGAAATTTTAAATTTTACTTACAAAAGGAATTACAGCAACTATGCATCATAGAAGCCATCAAATCTGATTCTTACTATCTGAATTAAAAAGATTTAATAAATCTTGATCTAAGTCTTCCAGATCATCACATTCATCCTCTTGGTTTACAGTCTCTTTATCTAAGGATATAATTTAAGCTTCTATGAACCCTGCTATTATTGACGATGTTTTTACCTATTTTCCATGCACTTCCTACCCACTTTGCAGCGTCTTCATAAGATGCTCCACACATTTTACCGCTTTTGGTATACATATGCAATCATTCACTCATCCAACACTCCCACCACTTTCGGACTTCAGCTTTGAAGGATTTATACCTGACAAATCTATGGGTTGTAGATTTTTGTCAAACCACCCGGAATTATTGCTACGTTCGTAGACAATTTTTGCATCTGGTTTTCACTGACTCAAGTAAATGAGCACGCATGGAATCCATTATCAATAACCCTTTTGTTTGGAAAAAAGATCCTTTACGACACTGCCAAACTTTTTGTTAGCCACTCACGCATGATTGTTTCGTACAAATCCATCCATTCTTGTTTGCACAAATAATTACGTCATTAGGAAAATCTCCCTTGGAAATAGTTTTTCTTTTAAAAATGATCATCGGCTTTAGATTGTCATCGTTTGCGGCACAAGCTAACACACATGTAAATGACATTCTTTTCATGCTCCATCATAAGCACAGATACAGTTTTTGAACCAGTTTCATCAACAGTTCTGTTTTCAGGAGAGTTGAAAGCTAACGGAGTTTCGTCCATATTTATTATCTGTGACCGAAATTTTTTTTTTTTTTTTTTTTTTTGTCAATAATATCTGTAACATATTTTAGAAAAGATGCCTTTTTATCCTGCCAGTCCATTGGTAATTGTTGCCCGACTGTTGTTCTAGTACGAACAGAAATATTTTTTCTTTTCATAAATCTGCTGCACTGGCAAGGCCCTCCTTCAAAATCATTTATGTTCATTTGTTTTGCTGTAAATTTTGCTTGTAAGCGAATTTTTACAGTTGAAATTGCCATTCCCTTTTCTTGTTGCTCCTTTATCCAGTTTGCAAAGTCATCCTCTAGATTCGGCCACCTTACAGTACCACTTCTTTTTGCTCATTTCTGTTGTGGCATATTTTTAAGAAGTTCTTTTTCAGTTCTCCAACATTGAATACATACTCGTCCACTTCAAACTCTGGAGCTGCTGCTCTATTTCCAATTTGTTCAGCACGTGAAATTACATTAAGCTTAAAATCAGCAGTATAGCTTCTGTGCCATTTAGGTGCCATTTTCAAAAATTTTCCGCTCCCTTCTTACTTAAAAAAAACTGTCAAACAAGTACTTGTACCCAAACTGATAGGATCTGTATCTGGCAGAATGCCAAGAAAAATCTATTCATGCTGAAGGGGAAATACGCGTTATTGTTCTGAGATCTGGTATAGGGTGAATAAGACATGTAGGTCCCTTCAAGGGAAGAATGTAAACAAAATAACATTTGCAAAAAGTAACTGAGTGGTCTTTTGTGTGGGAACAGCACCAGTCTATGTACAATGTGAAGGCCATCCAAACTATGTACAATGACCATAATAGGAAATATTTTATTTTTAGTGCACCCAAACGCCGCACCCGCTGAAAATTTAAGTTTTAAACACGTAAAAGCAGCGGCATTTCTTCCGGAAATTACGGTAATTATGAGGTATCTAAATACATCTAATTCTTTTTTTTTAATTTGAGTTACATGTTAAAAGTACGAAAGTTAAAATTGTTTTCATCATAAACTGCTTTTGTACCCTACTTTTTTTTTTTTAAGCAGTTCTACATACTTTAATACCAGATATATGTGTTTTGGAACTGAACAAGTTATATAAATTTATTTTGTGCTTGCATTTCATTAAGTAATAATTTTCGAACAAATATTTTTGTTTTATTTTTTATGATTCTCAAAGTTATTGAAAACTTCATTTCATTTATTACTTAACTATGCTAATAATTTCCTTAATTTTTCAATTTCTATTCCAGCACATGTCAGAATCTTAGTAAGTTCTGTCCCAAATTACTTCATTTAGATATAGGATCATGTTCTCAAATGACAGATTTATCTTTGAAAGCCATTGGGTAAGTAAAGGTTATTCTTATTTTGTAGAGCCTTTTTTAGGTAGAATGTATGCTGTGCAGTGATAGATACTTGTTCACCATAATAGATATCTATAACATTAATTTCCATTTATTTAAAGAATATACTATTCATTCATCAAAACAAATTTATTTATTGGCACTATTGATTAACCCTTTTGAGATGGGATGCCTTTATTTAAGATGCTCCTTCGGGACCGATAGAAGTCGAAAGAAATGTCTCACAGGATGGGGGCTTTGCTTCCGCTAAATTTAACTTTCAAGAAAAAAATCAGAAGAAAAAGGTTTACATCCTAATGTCATAATTTTTGTTACTATTTTAGATTATTACTTAAGAAGCTATCACATATGATAAAATTAGTATTTAGTAATCTTTTCCCTTTACGTGAATATATATAAAAATTGCAGACTTTTGAGAAATAATTTTAAAAAGCGCTATTCAAATTATTTAACTTATAAAATGCATTAATGAACTTTTAAATTAATTTTAAAAGTACAAGAAAGACTGTTTGCAAGAAGAAGTAACAAAATATTTCACGTGAACTGGAAGGTACACACTCAGTGAGCTCAGTCCTTGACAGAATGTCCATATGAGAATCACTAGAGATATTGATTGCTCTCTAACTCTTTAGAAAATGAATCATCACTCTCTTTCATGTCACTAATTGGCTAATTTACCATGCGAGTATATCCTTTTGATAAATAACAGTTGCTCGCCATAATAAACTAAGTCAAGGCTTTCTGAAATAAAAGGAAAGTGCACTAAATATAATCAATAAAAGCAATGCAAATGTAATAGAACCCCACATACTAACCATTAAAGACCCTACATAGTACCAAAAAGAAGGAAAAAAAAGATTTGAAGGGATAACAGAAACGCAAATGCTTATATCACTTGGGGAGTTAAAGAGATGACTGTTTGTTTCCATTATGCTCCCCCCCCCTCGGTAGACAACTGACTCAAACGTTACGTAGAATTGTGATCAAATTGAAGATCAGAATTCTAAAACTATATTCAATACAAAAGGAAGGGACACTGGACACCATCTAATGTTCTTTAAAATATTCCAGGACTCTGGCACAAATGTGTAACGGTCAGTGGTGAACAAGAAATGGCTTGGGCATGTCAGCATGTTGGCTGGGAAATGAGTGTGTTTATTGCTGGCATGTATGTATGACAGTCAGCACAAAAAGATTATTAACACTGTAAAGTTATGTGTTATATGTTAATTAACGAATTATAATGATTGAAGTATTTACTATAACTTCTCCTTTTTCTATTCCTCACCAAAATGCAAATTAGGTTTTTGAATCTTCAGATTAGAACTTTTGGTAACTCCATTTTGCTAGTCTTCATTGCAGCTCTCCTTAAAAGTTAAAATCAGTCTTTAACATCTCACTAGCTGATGTTTAAATATGCATTTGTAAAATATCTGAGTCAGCATACTCTAGTCTATTCTATATGTAATCTTAGGCTACGTTTGAATTTTGTCTGCTTTGTTAATTTAAATATCCATGAGTGAAGAAGTTTAATCTGTATATTTTAACCTTCTGTGTTTTATGTATTGTTTAAGATGGAGCGATAACTCGCTATTTGTCTAGCAAGGACTGCAGAACATTAACTCTATTTTGCAACAGAAACCATATAACATTAAATTTATGTTTTTTAAATTTTGATACAATGCAACATAAAATGATAGTTATTTTCAGAAGCTGAAATAATGTTATAAACATAAGCAGGGGAATCAATTTTTAGATCTGATCTAATTGAGCAAAGAGAAAGGAAAGTTAAATCTACTTTCTTTGAGCTGTTTTAAAGGTTATTGATAATGATACAACAAAATTATTTTGATAGAATGCTTCCAAGAACTATGGAAGTAAATATTGTGCAGTAAAATAACTTTAGTTGCTTTGCTATAGCTATGAAATAATGCATCTAAATCTGTGATTCATTGCTTTAGTTTTTTACTTTTAAATTTAGAAATGTGCTCATGAGTAAAGCTGCATAATCTATGAAGTTGAATAAATAAGCTGTGGTTGGTAAGTTTTGAATAAGCTCTACAGGGTGCATCTAAATTGTTTTTACAAAATAAGAGGGCTCATAGTACCCATCCAGATGAGCAATAATTACCATGGAGTATAGGGTCGCATTCCACTCAGAGAGGCAAAAAAGAGTAAAGTCGAAATATTTCAGGCATAAACAAGTCATCACCTCTGATGTCATTATGTACCTACCTACGTAACATATCTCCTAAGCAAAATGACCAGGTCATTAGCATACTGGCATCCAGTCCAGCGGTTCTAGGTTTGAATTCCAGTGTAAGCATGGATATTTGTAGTGGTTCGGGACCCACTTCTGATCTGCATAGCCCTTATGTGCAGCAAAGCAAACTAAATCGTATCCAAATTTCAAGTGAGAAGAAGCAGCATAATTTGCTCTTAGCATGTTCCATAGAAAGCCAATCATATCAAACATTGTCCTTTAAAAATGTCACAACATTAAATGCTTAAAGTATTACCTTGATATAATATAAGCCAAAACATTTCTTGAAGGCAATGGCAGAGTACACATATGAGGAATTGACAGATTATGCACCTCACATATGGTAAAGTAAAAAAGGAATGGACGCGAAGCACAAAGATTGTATGAGCAGCAGCTTCCAACATAACATATTTTAAGTCATCCTGCCTTCAGCATTGTTGATCAATGACTATAAGAAACTGGTACATTTGCCATCTCAAACAGTAATGCAAGACATTCATGAAATGTATGAATGCCAGAAGTGGAAGAGTGAATCCTGGTGAAAATTACAGCAGCTCCTCCCACAAGTATGCGAGCAGCGGCATACAAAATGGGTATTTCTGAGAAAGTGGTTTAGCACATTTTACATGAGGAGCTATACAACCCTACTATGTGCAAAAGGTACAATTTTACACCAAAATGATTATCTTCACCGGGCAGACTTTGTGCAGTGGATGCTCGGGAGGAGGAATAACAATCCACATTTTCCTTCATAAGTATTATTTAGCGATAGCATTTAGCAAAGAAGGCATTTTCAGTCTGCGCAATCAGCATGTTTGGTCTGACAGCAATCCCCACTGCACAACCCCTCATAAACAACAGGAGAATTTTTCTGTCAACATAGGGGTAGATGTTCTTGATGATTGAGATTAAGGCCCTTACGTCTTACCAGACTGTTTGTCCAGCGCAACATACTGAATTGTCTTGGAACAAGTGCATCCCAGTTTATTGCAGTCTGTTCCACTCCCCATCCAGCGAGACATGTGGTTTATGCATGATGTAGCATCAGCACACTTCTCTAGCATAGTTTGGCACTTCTTGATCGCCACATATCCTGCATGATGGATCGGATCTGATAGACCTGTGGCTTACCCCCCTTGCTCACCAGACCTCAACCCACAGGATATTTTCTTCTGGGGGCATATGAAATTTTTAACGTATGAGACACCTGTGGACTCAGCTGAAGTTGTTGTCGCAGACAAAATTAACATAACACCAGAAATCTTTAGGGTGTGCCACCCATTCATTACCAATGTAAACTGTGCAACAGCACACGTGGCCACAAGTTTGAGCACTTACTTTGAGTTTTTGACCAATAAATCAGATTGTGCAATTTTTGGTACCGTTCATTTGCTTTTCCTATACTGTTACAAATTCATGTTGGAATTCTAATTTTAGTCTTTTCTGTCTCTGAGAGTAGAATGAAACCCTGTGCTTCGTGGTAATTATGGCTCATCTGGATAGGTACTATCACTCCTCTTATTTTTGTTAATGCAATTTAGACTCACCCTTGATAGTTGTAAAGAGAGACAAATTAAAACATTTTATAATTGACTGCATTATAATTGCTGAATCTTTTTTAGTATAAATATTTTGACAAAAATCCTTTCACATCTGCTATGTGAGATATTTGGATAAAATACATAGTGTGATGGTATACTGAACATTCAACTGTGGTTTTTTTTCAAAACAGTTTCAGTTTTTGTTTGAGTAGAATGAAAATTTAAATGAAATAAACTTCCTCTTATAAGGATTCTTAAACAGTGTTTGGAGAATGGTCATTTTATTAATAGTAATAATAATTGCTTGCTATTGATATGTAGACTTTTCTTTTGGTTTTGTAGGGAAGGATGTCCAAATATGGAGCACATCAATATATCTTGGTGCGACCAAGTGTCCATGAGTGGTGTAGAAGCCTTAGCTAGGGGATGTGGAAGGCTTAAAGTTTTTATCTGTAAAGGTTGCTCCCTGGTATGTGAATTCTAGTTATTATATATGGCCATTTTCATATGTATATAATAATGATAATATTTCCCTAATGAAACATTTACGTGAAATTGTTTTTTTAAAGAAATCTGTGAAGATTAATTGATGTTACATGAACCATCTATTCATCTAAGAAATAACAACCTTGAATATTTTCTGTTTTTTTAAAGAAATCTGTGAAGATTAATTGATGTTAAATGAACCATCTATTCATCTAAGAAATAACAGCCTTGAATATTTTCAGAAATGCATGTGAACTTGGGAATTTCTTATTAAGAATGTGAATAATCAAGAAGCATACTAAAGCCATTTTGAGGCTGTATGTTAAATGGAGAAGAGATGATACTTTTTAGCTAAGAATTCCCTCGCAGGTATAGATGCATGACTTGCCATAATGTGGTGATGAAAGAGTTGTGCAGAATTTTCTCAGTGGTAGTACACAGTCCTTTTTCTCATATGCTAGAATACCTCTAAGTATCTTTGTTCATAATAAATTCAAATCTTTAAGCAAAGTTCTTTTATGGCTATAAAGATCACCTTACTTTCCTTATTTAGTTATAAGAAAGAAGAAAGCAATTGGCTCTGCACTAGAAATAGTCATCTTGCGGCATTATATTGGCCAATCCAGTTTAAAAGATGTAAAATCAGATTAAATGTCTAATTATTTGTATTGATGTTTAATTATGTGAGAACAAGCAGAGTAAAAATATATATATATATATTTTTAAATAATAAGAAACAAAAATTTGCATGACATTAGAAATATGTATGATGGAATCTTTCAGTTTTTTTTGGGGGGGTGATTATGTAGTGTTGCGATATTAGGGTATGTATCACGGCAAGCATTGCCATTCTGTCAGTCTTTAATTTAAATTAAAATACCATAACTTCCTTGTGGTCAAGGAAATAGCCAGTTTTCAGTATATTGTTATTTGGCATTGTATACATTCTTCCAGATTCTGATTGTAGTTCTTATGTTGAGCAGTCTAAAAGCAGGATATGTACCTCTTCATATTATTCGTCAGTAACACAACCTATATATAAGCATATAGACATGCTTATCAGAGTTAGTTTAATCATGTTTTTCCATGCTTATTGTGCAATGAAGTTTCTGTTAAGTTAGTATGCACAGCATTTTAATCTTTCTACACTTTTATGATACACACATTCAATGGCTATGGTCTATATCTCAATTTATTATAGTTTTTATTATCTCATTGTTCACATGCTATTATTCACAACCTATAGATTTTATTATCTCATTGTTCACAAACAAAACAAAACAAAACAAAAAAAAAAAAAAAAGTCTTTTGACATACATATTTTTGGGCATTTCAGAAAAAAATCTATACCTGTCTATAGATACAGGAATGTTCTCTCTCATTCCATGCATTCCTTTCAATTTTTATAACATTTTAACTTTTAAGCCAATTAAACAGTCAGATAAACAGACCAGATATCAAATAATTCAAACAATCAATCTTGGCATTCATGATTTTAATATGTAATTACATAATGGGAACAGTGATTTATAATTGTCTAGTAAGAGCATATTTATAACTTTCAGTATAAATGGGACACAGTGTTCATTTTTATCAAAATGGCAACTTTGTCCTATTTATAATGAATGAGATGGTCAGGAAATATTAAGATAATGGTACAATCTCATTCAAAATGATGCATATGGCCAGCCTGTTTATAATCAATGTATTATGTACTTAGGTGATAATTCTTATTAGTATTTGAATCATTATTATAATTGGTAAAACGTATAAGTAAGTGTTAGCAAAATGTATAATTCTTTGATGAAATAGTCTTTCATTAACAATGAAAAGTGTGGGTTTTTTTTTTTTTTTTTTTTTTTTCTTTTTTTTTAATCACACATCTCTCCCTGTGTGTTGATTTGGCCTTCTTGCTGAAATCAAATATGTATATTTAAGAATTCCTTCTTTCCTAGATTGGAGATGAAGCATTGCATGAACTAACGAGGTTTTGTCCTGATTTGCAAGTTATTAATCTTCTGGGTTGCAGTGTAAGTTATTCTTATTTTTGATTCTTTTATTTTTATTATTAAGAATTTCTTTTTTTCTTTTCCTAATCCTAGTGTTATATAATGATGCTTATTATGTTTGAATTTAAATTCTCTTTGATGCTTTACATTTTACTTAATTACTTAAATTCTGCTTTAAGTGCTTTTTAACTGTAAGAGGGCTGATAGACTGATATATAACTCTTTGAAAGCCATTCTGATGTTTAATATGTCTTTATAAATCATCATGTTAAGAGTCTGTTGAACTATGCAGGAAGCAAGTTGGAATGCATAGTTGATAGTTCAGACTTCAAAGCGTTATTATTTTCTATTACTTTAAAATAGACACTTAAAAGCTAATATCAGCTCACCCCATTGACGATCTTAATCATCACTATACAACATTTAGTTTCCATTGATTTAAGACTGTAATATCGGTCTTCATTCATGCGCTCTGCATGAAGCAAAACCTACTAAATGAACATGTAGAAAAAGTTAGGCAACCCAAATTGTCTGCTGCAACAATCGATCCCATGATAGGAAAAAAATAAAATAAACTCTGAATAAATAAACTGTGAAATAACAGATCATAGTATTTGATTTGTAAACCCCTTCGTGACATGTAGCGCAAACGCCCGCTTATCGCGGAGGCCGGCAGTGTCTTACGCAAGCGTCTGTCCAGGGCCGAAGGCTTTTTTGCTATTAAGCCTAAATCCATGAAATTTCCGAAGCATCAACGCATTGTTTAATAATGCTCTATAGAGTATTTAAATGGCTTATGCTTTATAGATATTTTTATATATACTTTAATTACCTTATTTCTTGTTTAAATGCATATTTTACACATTTTATTTTCATTACTGACCATTTTATGACTTTTAACATTATACATCTGAAAACTAAATATATTACTTAAAATTTTCTTTTCGTATGAAAAATTTGAAAACAGGGATCTACACACGGTCCTACGTTACATTCCTTGCACTCGTAATAACTCATTTGCCATTTTTTTTTTTTTTTTTTTTTTTTTTTTTTTTTTTTTTTTTTTTTTTTTTTTGGAGGATTTTTCCGGGAATGTGAACAAACGAAGCATTGTCATCTCATTTTCTTATCAGTCTCTTCTGAACAAAATTTTGGAAAATGTCTTTCAGTTAATCTAAGCGGTTAGTTAATATTTTGCAGTTTCAGTTAATATTTTGCATCATTTCTGCTATTTCATGCTCTGTTAAACATTTTTGATGTGTCGACATTGTAACGGTAAAAACAGAAAGAATTCACGTCTAACAAGATCTAATTATTTTCTAAAAACTGAACTGCAATCCGAAATACCCAATGATTTAGCGAAAATAAAACTTCTCTGCTTACAGTAAACAACTACCACGTGCGAATTTAAAGAGACATCATAAATCACGCCATTCGGAAACATTTATTTCCCCTTTTGTTTATATAATCAAAAACACGTGTATGTGAGTCATGCTTCTCTCATTTTGAGTAGAAGGTCTAATGTACATGTATCTGAAACCATATGGACATAACAGTGCCATCTTGTGGCAGAAATTATAGTTTTTAAAATGTTCCAGGTCACTGGCACAAATATGTGACAGTCGGGGCTGAACAGGAAAACGCTCTGGCACGCCTGAGTGTCGGCCGGGAAGTGAGTGTGTTCGTTGCTGGCATGCAGACGTGACAGTCGGCGCAAAGGGGTTAAGCATCATCCATTGAAATTATTTTTCTGTTTATCAAATGGTGGTGATTTGCTCAAAATCTTTTGCATTTCAAAAGGAAAACCAGAGCAAACAATATTTTGCACACAGAATCTTTTGGTACATATGTATTATCAAGACCATTGTAGCAGAAGTTGTGTATTTTTAGAATGCAGCAAGCTCTGGCAGGCATGCAATTACAAATTTCTGAAGCAACCATGCTCATAACAGTTTTTCAGTCAGGCAATGTCAAAATCTTTGTATGTGTTCTCTTTGTTGTATCCCAAACTCCAAAGGTTTTTGTTTTTTTTTTTAATAAACAAATTGTGATATTTTTTGCTTTCAACTCAATTTTAAAATATCACTTATGGAATTTGGCAGCAATGGAAGATACTGCATTAAAATTTTTGCTGAAATACAGTATTTTAGTGCAAAATTATTTAAGGGAACAGTGATGAGATGCTTTTGGTTGATAACCAGTGTGCAATGCAAAGTTTGTGCAGTTCTCTGATTTTTATTTTTATTTTATTATCTTTTTGAGCAAAAATAGGTCACTTTGTACACAAGATGAAGAACAGTGCTAAAGAAGAATTTTAGGAAAAGTGCTTTTATTTAATGTTTCATATAATTCTTATTTAATAATTACACTTTATATTTAAAAATTTTAAAGTGTGCTTTCTATTAATGTGTTGATAATGCTTGCTGACCACGATGAATATCATTAATTTGGGAATATTTAAAAAAGATATTTTAAAATTGTCAATTTTTATAAAGTAATTTTTACCTTTCATGTATAACAAATTGACAGATTGTGCCAGTGTGATTGCATCAATACATAAGTACCAATCTATGGAATTTCAATAGTCAAGCTATTGTTGTGGGCCATCGTTTTGTTTACATTTCTCTGAATGTTAGCTTTGAATACAGGAAGAAATTAACAGTTTATCGTAAAATTAATTACAAATGGCTGTTCAAATAGTTTAAGCAAAATACGGATATAAACAATTTCTCCTTAATTCTTAAAAGAATTCTCAATTGTCAGAATAGCTTTCGGAGTATAGTATTACAATTCAGTCGAATCTCGCAGTTGAATAACGACTAAAAAACAGCAACAGTGACAACAACAACTCATCCATTTTCTTAGCTGTATTTATATAGACACTAGCTTCCAGAAAGTTCAGGAAAGATCTGTCGCTGGGAAACATATCTAGCATTTCACATAACTTTTTAAAATATTTTGAACATTGCCGTTCTCGGATTAAAAAAATCAAAAATTCCATATTAGAAATAAATACACATATAAAGAAAAAAAGTGTCCATAAATACATACACATTAAAAAAAGTAAATAATCGAATAATGCAATAAAAAGGACGTAAATAATTACAGATCTTTACAATCTTGCCCCTTCTTTAAAGACTGCATGTCGCGGGCAGTGTAATCCCCAAGAGTAAAGATAATTAACCCTTATTATCATAAACAAGTTTTAATAGTGTGCATATTATTAACACTTGCTGTAATAATACTAATAGTGTGTTACTCATAGTAATAATAGCAATAATATTATAATAACAGTGTATTACACATAATACACTGCAAGCCTATCATAGTGCACTACTTTAGATTTAGTAGGTGTTGTTTGAATACACACCACTATGTTATTCAGTTTCTTGATCAGACAGAAGGGCTCCTTTCTGGATGACTGCAATTCGAGTGAGATACTTCAGTGTCTCTTGCTATTCCAAAACCAGACTTGATCTCCATCCTTGAATGCACTCTCAGTGGATTTGCCATCATATCTCCTCTTCATCCTCTTGTTTGCTGTGTTGATCTTTCCCCTGGTCACATGTAATTGGCAAATTTTAGTGTTTTCAAGTGGTACGATAATTAATTTACCCTCAGCACAGCCAATATGCACTATGCGAATAGCTTGGAATTTTCTTGAAACACATTTGGGAAAGTCAGGGAATTTCATTCTTCTGTTTGAGTGGCAACCTTGAGATGGTCTTTACTTCTGATCAATGAAACTTCGCATGATACTTCTCACAGGGAAGCATGAAACAATTTCCTTTCCCTTTTCATGAAAATATAAGACTATCACTTATGTTGGAAGTCCTAACTGACATATTTTCTTTTGATAGTCCAAGCGCATATGTGCTGTGTTTTCTCCTTTTGTAAAAGTATTTAGCCTGTCACTTGTATTAGCAACACAGACCGGCACTTTTCCTTTTGTTGAGTTCACTGAAACAGCTGCAGATAAGAATGCTTTTGTATGTGTATTTTTAAGGAAATCAGTAATGCCCACATGCTGCTTTTCGTGAGTTTCCACTAAGTGCTGATGATGCATGCATTCAGTCCTAGGAGCAATAATAGTATTCTCATGAACAGTTATCCTGTAGCAACTCACATCATTTTCATGCATTTCAAACATTGGTATTTCTTAATTAGAAGTGTACAATTAATTATTTTTTACATCTAAGCAAAATCCATAAGTCAAATTTGAAATTATTAATAACAGCCATGTATACTGTTCTCATACACACAGGATGTGAACTTGATATGCACATTTTTCCAGATAATGACATTTTCTAGCTGTTCATAGTTTGCATATTTAAGGATAGAGCCATATACAGAAGGTGGCTGTTCGAATGCTGATCAATAGCAGCTTGCATGGTCATCTGCTATCATGCAACAAGAAGATCAATTTATTTCTCTTTCGACACAGAGTCTGTAATTTCCACCATGAGCCGGCAATATCTATAGAACAGCTGAGTTTTCTGCTTTTAGTAAATTTTGTTACTTCATAATATCCTTACTTATTTCCTTCATAAATGTCCCTCATTATTACAGTTGCATTACTTCATTCTATTATTACAGCTAGAGGCATTCACCATTGCTTCCCGAAATGTTGTTCTGTATTTCAATTCCAGCATTTCGCTTTATTATTATTACCATTCTTGTTTGTCTTGCACCCTTCCACTGCTTCCAGTCTCTTTTAACAATTCCTTTAAAGCTTTTAGCATCTTTGTCCTCTTACTATTGACACCCCAAACAAGACCAACAATCTTTTCTACTGGCATTCTGTGCAATCTGCACTTTAATTTCATGTACTAGAGCACTTTTCAAACCCTTATTATCAACTGTGTGGAGAGCTTGTTGTATATCGTGATTCCTAATAACACCCACAAAATATTGAAGACTTAGAACATGTCTTCAGTTTCTCAAATATAATCAGAAGATGCTAGTTGCATTATTTTTTCAGTTTCAGTCACCAGTTCTTGAAGAAATCAATTCTTCTGCCTTCTGATGTTGGACCTTGAGCTGCAATCAGTGGTAATCCTTGATAAATGTTTCTCCATACTGTAGATCTAACACATTAATTAAAGTGTCAATATCTGAGCACTTTTCAGCTGGAAATATCTGAAAAACGACAGCAGCCTCTTCTTTCAAAGATGCAGCCAAGTTTAAGACTTTGGTGACAGGTCCCTTCAGTTTGTCTGCTGAATCATTTGAATTGTTTCCTGCAGATGCATCATGAATTTCCCATCATATAGTGAAAGCTTAGTTACCGAACAAGATGGCTGAACCAAGATGTTCTTCTAAACAGCATGAGCCGGAGTGTTCAATGCAGGCTGAGTTGGGGTATTGATAATAAATAAAGCTAGTTTTAGAATTTTCTCCTCTGATCTTAAAATTTCTTTTTAAGCCTCTTGTACACTGCACAGATTTCTTCTGCTATAAAGGACTTTACCATCTTTGACTCTGTTTTAAGTTTGGTTCCTAAGCATTCAAGATTTCTTTAAGTGAAACAATACTGTCTTTCATTTTAGTGGCATTTTCATCAGTGGCATTCTTTGTTTCGACAACATTCATTTCGACGGAGTTCTTCATCTCAGCGACATTTGGGAGTGTCTCATTTCTCATTTTAGCAGCCTGCCTACTCTTAGCAAGAATTTCCTTTATAGCTTTCAAATTATTTTCATTCTCCTGATTATCCACATCCACATTCAAAGAGATCCAGACACTAATTGTCGCAGGCTATCGGTTAATTTATATTTCTCTGAATGATCACTGCAAATAACAGAAATAAATTAAATTATTTTTATAAATTTAATTACAAACAGGAATTCAGACAGCTTAAGCAGGACACAGATATAAACAAATTCTTCTTAATGTTTAAAAAATGTCGCCAATTGTATGCAGATTATACACACAATTCAGCTAAATCTCACAGTTGAATTACAACTAAACAACTCATCTGAGCTCTCTCAACCCTATTTGTATGGATTGTAGCTTCCAGAAAACTCAGCAAAGGTCTGTCATTTGAAAAGTCACATTTCGCTTAAGTTATTTTTAAATTCTTGATGTTGCTATTCTCGGATCAGTCAAATTAACAATATATGTATATAGAAAGAAAAGAATTAATGTAAATATTATCTAAAACAGAAGAGTAAGTCCACAGTAAAAATATGTTGTAACTAAATTATGTTTAATAGCAAAATTATAACTTACAAAAGTATTACAATAGTGCAAGAGACAAATTGAGAACCCGTAAAAACAAATTTAGAACTTTGGCAAAAGTGAAGCAGTCTAGGCCAAATGGCTGAAATTTTAGAACAGTTGGATGCTTGGCAAAGTATTTGACTAAAAATGTGCTATTTTCCTTGCTGAATTTATTGGCAGAGGGCTTGGAGGTATCTTATTCAGTTGGCAATTCTTATTAATAATTTTCTGGATGTTGAGCCCATGATATTTAGTTTTAAGAAACAGCAGTTCTCTTCAGACTATTAATCACAAATCAACTAGCAATCCAGAAATAATCCCATTCAACTTTTTTTTTCCTTTTCATCACCATAAAGCAGCAGGTGTTTCATGCCAGAATTTTGCAAAACTGAATGTAATTACAAATTGCTGAAGACAGTAGATATCCTCCCAGTTTTGTGGATAAAATCACCAAGAAAACCAGTAAACAAGTTTCTATCAACTAAACTCTAATCAATTATCTAAACTCTCGTCTCTTAAAAAGTAATGTTTTCTGATGACCATCATCAAATAATAGTAGGTATATTGGAACGTTTCCCTGCAACCTGATCATCCCACACATCTGTTGCGTGTGTAAAACAGTTGGTTAAAAATTTGGCATTACCCAACTTCATCCATCTGGAAAGATCAGATAAATCAGACATCACCACAATAGATCCTTGAGGTACATATACTATTCCGATTTGTAGCAAAAATAGGTGACGGAGGACGGGAACACCTGGTGTCTAACAAAAGTAAGCTGGTAAATGTTCTACGCCCACACTATCTTGAAACTGGTATGTCCCGAGTTCCAGGAGGCCTGCCTGAGAAATGCATTTGATTCTGTGTGAAGTTGCATAAACGAACAGGGACCTGAATGATATTAATTATTTTTACTGCTGCAATTCTGGCACTAGTGGCACTCATTGGCACTGTTGCTTGATGGTAGAGTATATAATACATTTGCTCATACAAACTCTGCAGAGCCGTTTCAAGAAGAAAATTGACATAGATCTTACTTAGTTCGTGGCCACAATATCCAGTCCTGATGACACAGAAAAGCAAAGGTGCAAACACAGAAATTCAATAGCTCTTAGAGAACTATGAATAAAAATTGCTGAGCATAAAAAAGATCTAAACTCTTTGCCAATCGTTCATCAATGAAAATTGTACGTCATTAGTCAACTACTACACTATTAATCCACACACAATAACTGAATGGGACAAGTCCAAAATCATTGCCAAATCCCAGCATAAAAGCAGGCTCAAAATTAAGAGAGGCCCTTGAAATCACTACAAAGTTGGCTTGCATCAATTTCTATGTGTTTGGGTGTCGATTTTGAATACAGCAACCCTATGGAAACCAATAAAAGACTAAGGCTTCAAACATGATGAAGCTATCCATTCCACCTCCAGCTGACAAAACAGACATATCATATCATCTGCCAAAGCACCGCCAATTATATTTAATCATGGTTTTAGCTTGTCTAACGTAGAGTATTTTATCAAATTTTTATGAACATTCAAAGCTTTAAGTATCTTGATTCTTTACATGGTATTTAATAATTGCAAATGAGAATTTCTTCATTAAAAATATGTTCACATAATTATGTTGTGTCATTATTTTATTTAGAATGTAACAGATGAAGGTGTCCAATATATTAGTCAACGGTGTCCTAAACTTTACTATTTGTGTCTTTCCAATTGTTCTCATCTCACTGATGCTTCATTAATTGCCTTGGGGCAAGGATGCCATAATTTAAAGTAAGTTAAGTGATGAAATATATTGTACTTATAAATTCCTCATTAATTCAGTTTACATTTACTTTAATGAAAAATTACTTTATCATTGTTACAGAAAGGGAATAATCTTCTTGAAGTAACAGAATAACTGTAAACCTGTGGGTAGGTAAAAGCTTATTGCTGCAGGTATGGAGAAATAGCATGTTATTCTGATTCTGAATTGCTGCATATCTTAATTTGAATATTTTGTGTATTTCACATCATATATTGTAGTCATCATAGAACTGTAAACCCAAAAAATCAGCCATCAATCTTTCTGTTCAGTCTGCAAACTCATTCAATTCATTTTTTATAATGGCCATTATAAAAAATGAATTATTAATTTGAATGTGTCTCATTGATAAAAATTTCGGAGATGATTAAGGCAAATTATTCATAGAATGTTTTTCAGAAATTTCCATGTGATAGAAATGTGAAAGTACACTTATTATAGTAGTTTTCAGGTTAAAAAATATTGGAATTTGGGTGAGTTTGAAAAATGAACTCAAAGGTTATATTATATTGATTTTTGGTGTAGCTGATTTTTGGTGTATGAAGACCATACAAATATGTGATATGAGCTAAGCAAAATATCCTAATTAAGATAGAATAATTTTTCAGATGATCATCATCATAGGATGTACAGTAAAAATTTGTGCTCTAAACCTTCATAACATTTTATAATGTATAGCTGAGGCGGTTTAATTTTAAATAAAAAAGTTTTATGTTTTACAGAGATATCTCTTTGAATATTCTTAGAAGGAACTGTCTGATTTAAAAAAATTCTTAAATGAAAGAGCATTAATTAACAATTTAAGTAAACTGGAATACACATTTTTTAAAATCAAAATTTTGTATATAATTTGAGTTACTTAAAAACATTTTCTATGAATTCAAGTATCTAGCTTATGCAAATTTATCTGCATTAAGTTTTTTTTCTTTTTTAAGTTCTAAGTTGGCTTATGCAATAAGTTTCAAAATTTTTGTTCAATGATTTAAACTTTTGTATCAAAATTAGTGATGAAGTAATTCATTAGGAATAAAAGAGGTTGAAAAATACATTGCAGCTTCTGTGATTCATGTATCTTATGAACAATTAATATCATTACTTTAGAACCTCTGCAAACTGAGAATTGTACAGAATGTGCTGCTGCTCTTTATTTATGTTAATAAGGAACTGTTGCAATAATAATGCTAATTAAAATTTCTGCTAATGATGGTATAGAATCTGTAGCAAATTGGCAAATTAGATGTCAAATTAATTGGTTGAGTTTTAAATTTTATTTTATTTTTCTAGTTATAGGCATATGTTTAATTTTATTTTAATTATTATTCCTTTTTCTATTTTAAAGCTTAAGCCTTCCATTTTTCCATTTTTTAAAATTATTATTTTCCCTGAATTTGGAAACTTTTTTGCATTAATTGTTATGAAAAAAAATTATTTAGTTGACTGTTGGTAAATTTCTTAATAAATTAATTTCCTCAAAAAGTTTTTATTATTATTTTTTGGCATTATTTTGGCTATTATTATATTAATTATTTTAGCTTTTGATTGCAAAGGATTTTCTACACATTCAGTTTTTACTTAAGTTCGAAGTTTATTTAACATTATTTAGCACAGTGCTTCTGATTTACTCGATGGTTATTTAGCAGTAATTTTTGTTTTGGGGTTATGTTAAAGTAGATTATAGCTTGAAGAAAATTTTAAAATAATTTAAAAAAATTTACTTTATTGCACTTTTAAAGAACTTTATTTGAATTTATTTTTATTTTGATCAAATAAATTTTTATTTAGAACTTTCTTTTAATTATTCCTTTTTATGTTTTTCAAGAATTGACAGTTATCCAAATATAATTCAGAAACATGGCTGTTGAAAATTCTTTGGCTGCTTCTTGAAAAAGACCCAAGAATTTTCAACAGTATTTTTTATTTTAATTGTATTACTTTCATTACGGTATTTTATTGAATTGTTTTTATTCCAATTTTGATGTGTACTTCTGGTTAGATTCTTAACCCTTTTCTTGATTTAATATGTGATTTAATAATTATTTGTTGCTTATATAATTTATTTCTCAGCGTACTGTATGACTAAATAATTTATTATTTAATTTTAAATTTCTAAACTTCGGTTTATATATATAAATGAAAAGATACAAACCAATTCAGCACATCAGTTGTTGAATTCTCATAAAGCAGTTAGGCATCTTGAAAAGTTTATGATCAAGGGGCAGATATGAAATACATGATTTTGTTGCAGACTCTGTATAAGAAAACTGCATATCTGATCTAATTACCTTACCTGGTTATAATAAGGGATTCTGCTAGGTGCACAGCGACAAAAAGTTATGATTGGGATTCTTTATAAGATCTTCAAAATAGCATTGCAGTAATTCATTGTATTATATTCTTCGCTGATACCTTCAGAACTCTAGTTAACCTCATGTACAGTAAGACCCCGCTTAACGCGGAGGATACGTTCCATCAAAGTAGAGCGTAATGTGAAACAGTGCTAAACGAGGCTATCTTTACATGTAAATAATGGGGTTAGGGGAAGATGGCTAGGAAATTGGTTAGGTATTAAATTTAAAAAGTATGTTTTTTTTAATAAAAATAAAACCAAGCATTTATTTCTTAAAGCCCAAATTAATACCACATTATTATTTCTTGCAAAAATAAAAACAAAATATAAATAACAAAACGACTATTCTTAAAAAAAACCAAATAAAATTCTCAGTCAGTCATATTTAGTTAGCCTCCGCGTTTTCAGTGTTCTGCCTTTTTGTGACAAAAGCATCTAATGTTGTTTGCCTTTTTCTTTTGCATTGTTCTCTTAAAAGTTCTTCATAAACGGATAGAGGATCTCTAACACCACGCCTTACGTTTGAGCTCCTGTCAAAATTCGGATCATTTTCAATGAATTGATCCATTATTTCAGTTATGCTAGACAAACTCCTTTTTACAAACGCCATCAAAAGTTCTTTTTGCTCTTCTTCTGAATCACCGCTGTCAACATTTTTGTTTTCTTCTTGTTCAGTTAATTCCTTGAGCTCATCCATTAGAAAGACTAGCCGCAGCTTCTTGAATTATTTCTTCGACATCTTCCACATTTACCCCTTCAAAATATGTCTGTACAATACCGCACCAAACAAGAAATACAAGTACACTCTTTCGGATATATATTTGAAACCTATCACTGCATAATATTTTGGGGAATCCCCGTATGCTGCGACTGATTTCGAATCCCCGGGTTGAAATAAAAGAGCGCTAAACCGAAACAGCGATAAACGAAACAGCATTAAGCGGGGTCTTACTGTACATGGTTGAGGTTGTTATGGTGCATAGCATCAGCTGTTGGAAAACTGTATTATAAGCTCTTATTCCACCACAACCCTCATTTTTCCATATGCCTTACTACCACAACTTCATGTAAGAATTATTGAACAAGAGCTAGCACATCTTAACCCTTTCTGTGTGGGTGTGTCATATACGCCACGGTATCATTCGGTTCATCTATGGCATGTGTAATGTCTGCATCTCAGTAGTGTCTGGCCAGACTACTTTAACGTATATGTGACAATAACATGAAACAAAATGTTAAATATTTTTTATTTTAACAGATGGTGGCATATGTTCATGGTACCAAGATAAATGACTCAGACATCATTAATTCTCATGTTAAAAATATTTAACATGAGAATTAATGATGTCTGAGCTTTGACTTGTACCATTTCATTTGATTCTAAAAGATAGATAGTAGGATTCAGTAATGTGAACAAGTTTGCTTGATGTTATGCATGTGCGTTTTTGTTTATATTTCTTTTGAGTGGCTTTTTGAGGGAAGAGTATTTTGCATTAGCACAGTTTTTATTTAGTTTCTTCTTTTTTAGTTTTGTCTTTTCGTATGTAGAGTAGAATGTTCTTTCTTTTGTGAATGTAAGTTTTTCTTTTTTCTTTTTTTTTTTTTTTTCTTTAAGATGTCAAAAGGAAAGCGATATTTATCTGAATCTGAGTACATAGCTTTATTGCAGGATCTGAGTTGTAGCGATGTCAACTGTCATGGGTTTTAGCAGTGAATTATCCATTTTTGATACGGATATTTTATCGTATTCAGAACTGCATCCTTTTGCCTTGACATCTCCATTCATAAATGACAACCTGGTCTTATACACTAAAAGATTTGCAGCCACATGCTTACATTGGTACACCGGTTATAAATTACAGTGCATTATATGGTGATTGTGATAAAGAAGATAATTTTTTCACATATTTTTCGATGATGACTTAATAGGTTTAATTACCAAACAAACAAATAATTTTGCAGATTTTGACCTACAACAAGATCCAAACCTCAGTGGGTTGTTCTCGAGATTCTCCTGGTTCTTTTCATTTCAGTTCCATGTCACATGAAGGAATGAACTTTTTTTAGCATTGCATATGTTAATGGGTGTAATAAAAAAAATTAAAAATGTATTTAACTACAAATCACGTAAGTGCTACTCCATTTTTTAATAAAATGATGTCAACAGATAGATTTTTGAAGATATTGTGATATTTTTACTTTATACCAGACAGTAGTCCTAAAAAATAGGATAAACGGAAACTAATTGCTGAGCTATTTGTAAAAAAAAAAATTTAAATGTACATAAACCGAAAAGGAATCTGTCTGTTGATGAATCTTTGTTTTTGTAGAAAAGCAAGCTAGGTTTAAGACGGTATGTTCTGTTGAAACAATCCTGATATGGAATCAAAATATATAAACTAAGTGAATCCAATACAGGTATGTTTGGAAGTTTTTAATATATAAGGCAAAAAATACCAATTTTTCAGTGAGATATGGCCTATATGGTAAAAAGCCTTATAAGTGATCTTTTGAGAAAAGGATACAACTTACATCTGGATAGGTTTTTCACTTCACCATCATTTGCACTAGATTTATATGACATAAAAATGAATGTTTGTGGCACAATCAGGAAAACGAGGAAAAGTCTGCCAAAAAAATTTCCTATCAAAACGATGTAGAGATGATGTATAGTAAAAATACATATCTGGTTGCATTTAAAGGTAAAAAGAAAAGTATTGCTTTTAACTACAGTGCATGGATACCAAACAACAAGATTCTGGTATGCAAAATGGGAGAAAGTATTAAGAAACCAAGCTGTATATTTCAGTACAATAAAAAATTATTTTTTCGACTCTTCGACATTGCAATCTATAATGCTCATATTTATACAATGTAAAAAATGGGACAAAAGCACCATTACTTCACTTTTGATTAAAAGTAATCAAACAATTTACGGAGAAAACATCCTTTCAAGGAGAGAGTGTGAATTTTGGCATTAGCTACACTGATGCCATTTTGCCTTTATTTTACATCTCCAATTTTAAATGAGAAGAAGATCCATTGTTTGCTCTCAAGCTGCACAGAGGAAGCAAGCTTCAGGGAAAAACATCTTACTTTGAGATATTTTAGGAATTACTGTAACTACAATTATATTACCTTAGGAACTACTCGTACTTCATCATTTGAAAGAAAGAGGTACTGCTATGAAAAATTGCTGTAAAATATGTTAAGTTTGCTTTATTTGATACTCTGACCTATATACAATAGTCTTTTTGAAAGCAGCTATGTTTTTTAAAAAGTGCTGTATCTGAATGATTATGACTATATAATATGTATGCATATTATTTATTACTTTTCAAACTAATATTTTGTTATGGCTGAGTTCATGTCCTGTGGGATGTATATCATGTTAAAATAGGCTATATTGTATATTTTATTCCATTATTATTTGGATTAAAAGTACATAATTTATTTTATTTTTAACTGTAGAACGTTAGAAGTTGCTGGGTGCTCTCAGTTCACAGACAGTGGATTTCAGGCTCTAGCTAAAGTATGTGTGATTTTTTTATACCTGTAACCCTTCTTCAGATTTGTATAGTGTATGCATATAATTTTGGAATATAATGAGATATATATTAAAATTCTGTCATTAGCACTAAAAGAATGCTTTTTTGTGTGTTGAAATGTAGGCAGTTAATAATAATAATGGTGATGTATTCTGATATGGAAAAAAAAAAAAAAAAAATGTGTATTTTATGTTGAAGGAAATGTAGAAAATCTTTTAAAATTATTTTGTGTGAATTCATACGTATTTAATAATTTTGTTTGGTCATTTTTTTTTTTTTTTTTTTTTTTTTTTTTTTTTTTTTTTTTTTTAGAATAAGATAATCAAACTCACACTTTTTATATAATGTGCATTGTATATTTCTAGGCATTTCAGTTAATAAATAAGAAAAGTATTGTGATTTTCTGTTCATTAATTTCAGAAGTATAGTTAATATATGTTAATATATAATCAGAGTATATTTACTAAGTAAATATTTTTCATGATGATGTTGTAAGAAGTTGTAGTTTCAGTTCCTTGCTTGCTTGGCATGGTGGAATTAGTGATTGTAATTTATGAAACAATTTTTCGAAATCCTTTTTCCTAAGTATTTGCATTATGATAGAATAAAGATGCATATGTATGTATACTTTTGCTGGTCTGTCTGTTGTTTGATTAAGTTTTTTTATCTTTTCTGATAGAATTGCCATTTTTTGGAGAAAATGGATCTTGAAGAATGTGTCTTAGTAAGTAAATAAAAATATACAATTGAACTTTAACCATAGTTTACTTCCAAGCATTTAATATGTTATATAAATACAAATTGTTTCAATATTTTGATGTGCAAACTAACATTTTGAATGTTTTAGAAATCGAAAATAGAATATTTTAGAAAATTAGTAGTTTAAGGTATGAAATATGAAATGAGTAGTAATATCTGTAAATTTTCAGATAACAGACAACACATTATGTTACCTCGCAGCTGGCTGCCCCCGTTTACAGAAGCTTGTGAGTTTTAATTTGTGATATTTTTGTTATACTTAAAAATATTTTATATTTTGACGTTATATTTTAAAAAATTGGGCATGAAGCAGGATATATTAAATGAATTTCATTTTCTTCAACAAATGTCATAAATATTAAATCAAAAATATAAATATTAAATCTTTTTATGTTTTATCCCATATTTATTTGTATATTTCCTCCAGTATTTTACTAATCTTACCTCTTGAATATCGATCTTTTTATTATACAGGTAATTCTTGATTTAATGACACCAGATTTACAGGCCTCACTTTTATGATAGCCTTAAACTAAGATAAAAGTCCTTAAATTTAAGCATACTGCCAGTACGTGTAAGTACGCACATTGGTTTTGTACATGCAGTGCAACATAACCTCAAATCATTGTACTCACAAAATGTGCTATATTACCGCAACAAACAGATGGCATCATTTAGCATTTCATTAGCTCATTCATACATGCAGTAGTGATCCTTAAGCGGCTCTTGCAAGTCCTTTGTTAAATTCTTCTCCATTTAATGACTCCCCTTTTTTTTTTCCGCATGTGAAGTAAGACACGTCTCAGTGATAATAATATAAAAAAAAATTAAATAATAACAATGTACGTATTACAATAAAATCACACAAAAAATAACATTTATTTATTTATAATAATAAAATAACAAAATTTTTATATGTTACATGTACAAATTTTATAATTTTTGTACTAATGGAATTCTGTTATTTAGAAAATTACTAACACAATAGAACATTTATTTTCATTAGAAAAAATCATAAAATAGCTCAGCTGTTAGAAAAAATCATAAAATAGCTCAGCTGTATTTGAACTCGCTACGTACTGGTTCATGGAAAATTTACAAAAATAGAAAAATCATTAACAATAGGAAATCAAAAATATGATCAAAGGCAAACTAATAATTTAAAATTTTCTTGTTTCTCAGTTATACTTGGCTTAAATTAATCTTTCTTTGTGAGGGTTAATGTCTCTTCTGTAATGCTGTCTGCTTTGACAGCAAATAATGTATATCAGTTACTGGCATAAAGTGTGCTACATAAATAAATGTACTTATTATTTTATATAGTTTTTTCATATTATGTGATTATTTATAAAAGTTGTAAAAATATTTCCATATTTTCTTGTTCATTCACCTTTTTTCATTTTCTTTTCCTTCTGGGGGGAAGGGCAAAAAGTGAAATATTTAAATTTGATATTTTGTTTTATAAGATGAGCCCTTTGTTAAAAATTCCATAGCATACCTCTGCTTACATGTACAATAAAAGCTCGACTATCTAATTCCAGATACATAAAATTTCTGGATAGGAAATTCTAGAATGTCATTCAAATTGCATTTTGTCTATAGTAAATATAATTCATGGTAGAAAAGCCATGTAAATGAAGAAAGAAATGTCTAAAACTAAAATGATTAAAAAGAGTAATCCCATTTGTTATCAGCTCAAATAACAAAAGCTTACATCTACATTTTTATAAGATTTTGAAAAGAAAGTGCATTTTGCACCTAAAATCCGATATGCTTCATAGATCTTTAACATATGAGATTAAAACATCTTAAAATGCCTTTTATCCTGAAGATCCCAAAGATGCCACCAAACTTGGACCAGTCAGTCCAGTAGAAGCTTTTTTTGCCATTTTAAAGGAAAGAGATCATTCTTTATTTAATTAGAATCAAATTCAAGCTATGGATGTAGCATATAAATAGGAGCTGTATATTATAATTTTTCACACTGCATTGCCATTGTTTGTTCATTTTCAAATGTCAACATATCATGCTCATTAAAATATATTTTTCTTGATGTCGTCTTACTTTCATAATTATGAATAATATTTCATAATTATGGAAGTACTCCACTGCGTGCAGTTCTGTAGAAGGAAGATCCCAAATTTTAACCTTTTTCCAAAATGCGAGGGAAACGGATAAATAGCAGTTCATTTATTTTTGTTCTGTGCAAAAAAAAACTAAACTGGCTTATTGAGAATTAATCCTGTTTATAAAAAAGTAAGGTGAAGATTGTATGTTTTTGTTTTGATATTATGCTTATGCATTATTGGCGATAATCGCTTTATTTGGAGACTGTTTTTGGCTTTGTCAAGAATGGTCGATGGAAGAGCATATAAAATACCAAATTAAAGTGTCTCATTAGATTTTGTTTGTTTTCCCTTTTTTCAAGACTGTTAATTATTTCTAATTTCTAAATTGTTAAAACAGCATGCATTCATTTTTTTAGATGCTAAAGAATCTTCTATTTTTACAAATTAAAGTGAGATAAAAAATTTTTGAGTTTGTGGATGGATAATTAATCAAAATAGGTACAAGATTACTTTTTGTTATGCTAAAAACTATGTAAAACATCTAAAAATTGTTATTAATATGGCATTCAATGAATGCACCAATTGATTGGAATATGTGGTGGTAAAAGAGATGAAAACAGTTTAATTTCTGTTGAAACATTTATGTCAAGGGCACTGCCTTGAAATTCCACCCTGTGCCGTGTCCTTGGCTTTCTTTTTTATCTCATCTCAAGAGTACCTATGGACAGAATGTGAGCCCTTATCATTTTTTCTTAAACCTCGCATGCATAAAGAGACATCTCCAAACAAGTATCTTTGCAAGTCTATGGTGCCTGCGACAGTCCATCTACACAGGGAAACATATCTCTAGCATATCAGATATGTGTCTGCAGCACCTGCACCATAGTTGGGATTATTGCATGTGACAGGATACATTGTCGGCAGCAACATACTTGGCGACAGCTAATGAAATTGCAAATGGAAATCAGGCATCCAAAAATAATGGTAATTTCTTTCAGCATGTATCTTACTGAATAACATGATAATCATTTGGAGTTTTTTGTTATTATTCTAACAAATTTAATTAATTTATGATGCAATATTTCTTTCAAATCATCATGTCTGACTGATTTCTGTACAAGAATAATAGTTTTTTTTTTTTTCTTTTGTTAGTTACAGAGTGATTTTTTTTTTATCTCATTATCATGAATTAAATGTGCTAGACTGTTTTGAGGTGATTACTATATTTTTATGTTTCCAGAAATCAAACAAACTAGAAAATCTTAAATTATTATTGGTTTGCCCGGTTTGATTATATTTTTGATTTCCTATTGTTAATAATTTTTCTATTTTTGAGTTATGTCTTGATGCATTTACGAAAGTGTTTAAATTTTCCATGAACCAGCAAATACAGCTGAGATATTTTATGATTTTTTCCACTAAAAATAAAAGTTTTATTGTTTTAGTAATTATCTAACAGATTTCCATTAGTATAAAAATAAACATATAATAATTTTATGTTATTTTATTATTATTATAAATAAATGTTATTTTTTGTGTGATTTTATATCAGTTAATTATTTACATAATAATTGGATACTAATCATACAAAAATAGTTATTAGATTTTTATGTAATATTGACACAAGACAGTGGCTTAGCTGATAGCTCAATGCGATGCAGGTGTTTTGGAACATACAGTTCAGCAGACGCTGTTGAATATGGGACTGTGCAGCAGAATCCCCACTTGTGGGCCTCTGTTGACCAAGTGTCATTGTCAACTACGTCTACAGTAGGCCTAGGAACATTGAGACTGGACTGTGGTTAAGTGGAAGACCACTGTGTGGTTGGATGAATCAGATTTTTCATTTATCATGTCGATGGTCGTGTCGGGGTATGCAGTCTACCATGCGAACAGTTGCTCGCCTTCCGTACAACAGGTCATACACAGGCTGGTGGTGGTATTAGCTTTTGGAGACATTCCTCATGGGCAGCTCTAAGACCCTTAGTTGTGGTAGAAAAAAACCATGAGGGCTGTGGACTATATGAATAAAATTGCACCCTTGTAGAGACATTAGGCTCTTTCGAAGCAGAAGACATAAAAAATGAGCAGTGCCCTTGCCAGGACTCGAACCTCGGCCCTCTCAAATACGCTCAAAGTGTGCTGGCCATTACACCATGAAGGCAGGAGAAATACCTTATATACTTCCCCTTTAAAGGACGACTGGGAATTAGGAGTCCCATTTGCCAAATCCTGGTAGTGGAGAATCATTATCCACCACCTTTTTTAGTTTGGATGCCACTGTAGAGACATTAGGTTATTTCAAAGCAGGAGACATGCAAAAGGAGCAATGCCCTCACCAGGACTCGAACCTCAGACATCTTGAATATGCGCCGAGTGGTCTGGCCAGTACACCACGAAGGCATGCTAAGGACGCGAGAGGAATACCTTATATCCTTACATGGTGTCTGTCTTCCCAACTGGAAATGGAATCTTCCAGTAGGAACAGGTGTTACAAGGTTTGAATTGTGTTGGAGTGGTTCAATGAACATAAGGATGAATTCCAATTAATGTCCTGGCCATCTAAGTCTCTAGATCATACCACAATAGAGCATATTTGGGATGTCGTGAAATGGCAGCTCAGAGCTCAAATGCAACCATGTCGGAATATCTTGACTTTGCATGAGTGCTGCTTAGACATCTGGTACAATCTGTCTTCAGTCATCTGCCAAGAACTAGTGGCATCCATGCCAAGGCAAGTTGCAAATGTTTTGCAGGCCAAAGGTCCAGAACACATTACAGTACAAAGTCTTTAATCCGGACTCGTTGGGACTTCGATTCCAGATTAGAGGTTTTTCCGGATTATAGATCATCAATTTAAATCTGGTAAGATGGCAAGCAGAAATTATAAAATTAAAAATATGAAACCATAATTAATGAAATAAAGAGCAATTATGATCTAAAGGGTATCAAAATTTACCTCCCCCAAAAAAGCTTAATATTTATTTGTTTACTTTATTAAACATTTCTTTCAATGTAATGTTTCTTCAATGTAAGTTGCTTCATTTTATCTGCTAATACTTTCTCTTTGATTCTATAGACAGACATAATTTCTTGTTCAGTTACAAAGTTCCGCTGCTCAAGCCCTGTAATTGCTGTGTCAAGAATACCGACTAACTTGTCAATCAAAATTTTTTCGTTTTCACTAACCTCTCTGTCACTTTCTTCATGCCTTTATCCATTTTTTGCAGCAATTCCACTTTTTGTTTGATTGACATTGAAACATGCTTTCACTTTGTAGATCCTTTGGCAGCTCCAGAATTTTAAACTCTTTTTGATGTAATCGAAAGTTCAAGCTTACTTTTTATAAAATTGCTCTAACAGTCTGCAAAAAAAATAATAAGCCGGATCCAATTAGAAGATTAAGGAACAATGCAATATGCAACATTAACTGAAATAGATAATTAGATAATTTTAGCCTAGCTTATACTGTCCGTTATACGTTAAATGCGCATATGTAAACGTATTATGCACATGCGCAATTGCTACGCATGCGCAAAAAGTTTATAGCTTTGAGGTCCGGATTATAGATCATTCCGGATAATGGACGTCCGGATTAAAGACTTTGTACTGTATTGAGTAGGTGGTCATAATGTTTTGGTTCTTCAGTATATATATATATAGAGAGAGAGAGAGAGAGACAGAGACTAAAAAATAATAAATCCTGAACCAACTTAACAAAGACATGAAAGAAATTAAATTTAAAATTATTGCTGTTTTGAAATTTTTCAATAAAAAATTTATGTCTGTTATGAGATTGATGTAGGTCTCCTACTGGATACAAATCACATCATCTGCTGTGACTACTATGGCTTAGTAGTGCATTAGAACTTTGACACAAAATCTCTCTGTGCAGACGAAATGCTATCAGGAGACATGTCTGCTAAGGAAACTTGTTCAGAGAGATGTTTTCTCATATAGACGAGCCTTTAGGGTGTATCCTGAAGAAATGCATTTAAATTTGACATCTTTCTGCACTTAATAATAATTATGGAAAAATGTATGTTATAAACTTAATGATGGTTTATAACATACATTTTTCCATTTTTGATTTAAGTAAAATACACATTATAATATTCTTTGTCTTCCATGAGGCCAACATTCATCTCTCCCAAAAGAAACAATAAAGCTTTCACCTGATCCATCCCTTTTTTTTAACCCCTTGCATCCTACGTATTGACTAGTGGATACATGTTATGCAAACTGCTCTTAGATCCATATTACTGCATGGGAATTAAAATGCATACTTATTCTGCAGGCTGGGTTATAATAATTCGTAGATTACGAATTTCCATTGCTCAAAATGTTTGTGGGTACAAAAGAATTTTTGACTTGCATTACATGAATAATTCGTTTGATTATTTATGTTATAACCGACCCAACATCTATATTGCTTTCTTTTTTAACCTTCCAAGACCACAGTTTTCAGGTGTATTTTTAATAGAACCGAAGATCAGAAGAGGGAGAAATCTCTGAAGGCAGCTCCATCTGCAATCCAAGGGGTTAAATGTTATAAAGCCTGTTACAATAGTGACTACTGCGTTAACATACTAGCAAAAGTAGTAATCCTAGTCCCATATGTTTCTATGCTGTAGGAACCCCTCTACCTTTCTTTCTGTGAGATGTCTTCTATTCCAAGGATGAATTTTTGAATGATATGATGGATATAACTGGGGATCTAAGCAGGGTCTTCTGAAAAGAGCCATATTTTTATTTACATTTTAGAAGCTATCAGTCTTAGGCATGCTTTATGGTGACTTTACAAGTGTATCATTTGCTTAATTTTTTCGAAAAGAATGTTTAAAAAAAAATCTAAAATTCTAGAATTTTTCAGTTACTTGAACTTTTTGGTTAGCTGAATGCTGGATAGTCAAGATTTTACTGAATAAAGATGTTCGATGTTTTGCATTCACGAATGCCATTATAACTTTGCAAAGCATTATTTTTTTCTAAATTCTGTATATCAGACATTATTCAATACAGGTTATTTCTGTAATAAAATAATTGGCATTTTATGCTATTTATTATCATAAAAGTATTTGCATGTTTCTCTTATATATATTTGTTTCTTAAATATTATAGATAATTAAGTATTTTTAGTTAAAATAACACATTTTCCTTTATAAATTTCTAGTCTCTTTCCCACTGTGAATTAATTACAGATGAAGGTCTTCGCCATCTTGGCACTAGTGCATGTTCTTCTGAGCATTTATCTGTTCTTGAACTAGATAATTGTCCTCTAATCACAGATCAGTCACTTGATCATCTTATCACTTGTCATAGTCTTCGAAGGATTGAGCTTTATGACTGCCAGCTGATTACACGTGCTGGGATTCGAAAGCTGAGGGTAAGTATTTTTCCAAATAATAATCTTAAACCCTGTATGTTCCTCATAGAGACCATAAATGGTGTATTATATTATGTCCTTTGAGTTTTAAATGAATGTCAGTAATCTGATTTTTTCATATGTGATATTTTTTTTTCCCCTTTTTTATAGTTCACATCTTGTTTATGTCAAAAATGTTTGTGTCACATCTTGTTATGTCATTTAGTTTAGCCAAAAATATAAAAAAAATAAAGCTTAATTTTAGAGCAATTTTGAAAGAAGGCTTTAATATCAAAGTACTAATAAGTCTCTGCCTCTTTTTATCAAAAATTGGACATTTATTTTGAAAGAATGATACATTATATTTTATTCAAAGTGTTGGCCATCGCTAGCCACACTTTTTCCCATCTTTCTGGCAGTATGCACATTGAAAGACACCTCATCTTTCAAGGCAGTCCACAAATCAATCCAATTTTTGGTATCTTATGATGTAAAAGCACTGCTGAGACAGGCCATGCGTCACATATCGAAACAAATAGTAATCAGAAGGAGGAATGTCTGGTGATCACAGTGGGAGGGGTGGACTTCTTATCTGAGTGTTTCCATGTAGGTTTTGAGAGGCACCGCAGCATGTGTTATCACAGCAAAAGAATAATTTCGTCATGTCTCAAGTAGGAGTAGGTGGATTTTCTTTGAATGCTTGGTTCAGTCTCATCAATTGTATTCAGTAGAGAATCTCAATAATGTTTTTGTACGGTGTGAGCAACTCATGATATATGACATGTAGTTGATCCCACTATATATACAACATGATTGTTTTTCCATGAATATTCAGCTTGGCTGTCGATGTTGAAGCATGGCCAGGTGGTCCACATGATTTCTTCTTTGGGTTATCATAGTGAATCCATTTTTTATCACCAGTGACTATACAATGTAAAAAACCTTTTCGTTTATGCCTGACAAGTAGCATTTCCCAAATAAAAAATCAGCATTCAATGTTTTTCAGCTTCAGTTCATGTGGAACCCAATTTCCTTCCTTTTGAATCATTCCCAATGATTTTAAACAATGTGAAATTATTTGTTGAGTCATTTCTATTGCAAGTGCTCATTCTACTTGCATTTGGCATGAATCTTCATAATAATGTTTCCAATTCTATGTTTTTGTACACTTATCATTCCACTATGTTCTTTGTCTTTAACATCATATTTACAGTTGTTAAACTTTTGAAACCACTCTCGACAACTTCTCTCACTTAAACAGCCTCACCAGATATTTCTACAAGTAGTCAATGTGCCTCAGCTGCAGATTTCTTGAAATTAAAGAAGTAAACCAAAAGTTCCCTTAAATTATGCTTATTTGGCTCAAATGCATGAGCCAACCATATAATATGATGTTTTACATGAGACAGTTTTAACCATAACTTATTGGTGATGCCATTTTTTGTCAAACGGCAAACACTTATTTGTACTTCTAATAATTTAGAAATTAATAGTGTGTCTTTGTTTGCTAACATAGTGTTAACATATTTTAGTTGCTGATTAACTGAAAATCTTGTATTTATTAAAACATAAGATGTCTATTTAACCTTCTGGAGCACCATGGGTTTTGGGATCCATCACGCAGACCTGTATATAAACAGCCTTTGTATATTTACTTATTTTGGTCTCTTTCATAAACTTACATTTATTAAGGTGACATTTATATTACTAAAGAAAGTAAGAAAACAAAATATCTTAAGATTATCTTAAGGTGAGATAACTTTCTCGCAAAGTAGGTTTAGGTTTGCCACATTTGGCGAGAAATCGTCCATTTGGCGACAAAATTCGTGATATACCATGGACGGTTGGAGAACCTTCTGCAACTAATTCTCACTGGTTTAGCCCAGAATGTTCTCGAATGCAAGCCGAAAGCTATATAAATCCTGCTGGCCCGCAATCAGTGAGAGTGTGAGTTAGTATCGAGTTGGGGTCTCGTCTAGCGAGTCAATCCCTGCAGAGTCGATCGAGTTGACAGCCGGGCAGCGAGTGCCAAGTGGGTTGTCGAGTGCACTGAAAGAGTCTCCTAGTGTATCGCGCTTAGTGCATCGTCGAGAGAGCCTGTTGAACTCTGGGAACAACTAAACCGAAGAGTCGGGAGCTGTGCTCTGTTGTGTCGTCGAGTGCATCACGAGTTGTAGCATGGAGAATCTCGAGATTACGTGGAGTTCCGAGAACGACCAAGCAGAGTCGGGAGCTGTACTCTGGTGCTTTGTGGGGAAGCTGTCTCCACCATTATAGCCTGATGGTGTAAAGGCTGTGTCGCTGATTGTGTCAGCATGTTTATAGTAGATCTTTGACGACTGTAAAAAGTGACTTTGGAGCTGTCCTGATTAATATTGGTTAAATAAAGTGTTAATTCAGAAGTGAAACAACAAATATCAGCATTATATTTTCAAACTTCCACAGGACTAGTTTTGATGGTTTTATCGGACCACGATCCTCAGCTGCAAAAGTGCAAATGAACGAGATAGGATATAATGATTAGATAAGCTAAGAAAGCCTGGGTAGAAGATAAGCTAGTGGCGCCATCTGTTGATGAAACCAGAACTAAAACATAATTTCTTTAAAGGCCGTAGGCAAAGATGGATTGGAATTAGGATCGTTAACTAGAACAGAAAGATTTTTTTGAATGTGAAATGCCTCTAGAAAATCCAATTCTCCAATGGAAGATGTTTTCTGAATAATTTTGGTCACAGAAAAATTGAAAGTGTGATTTTTGGACCAACAATGTTGGGCAACAGAAGACTTCTGTGTTTTCGTTTTTCTAACATATGCCTCATGTTCCTGGACACAAAATTTTAAGCCTCTCTTAGTTGGGCCAATGTAAATTAAACCACACTGGCAAGGAATCCTGTAAATACCCCAGGAATTCATATCTGGAATGGGGTCCTTGACTATGGAACTCGGAATTTTATTGATGGGAGAATAAACGACCTGAAAGTTAAATTTCTGAAAAATATGTGCAACTTTATAGCTAATTGATGAAAAGAAGGGAATGACAACAGAATTTTTATAATCTCCTAAAACAAGAGTGTGCCTTTTAGTGTGTTAAGATGAGAATTTTTTAACTGCTTGATTAATAATGTTGGGTGAAAAGCCCCTGTCAATAGCTATTGCTTTTAAATAATTTAGTTCTTCATCAAGGGATAGTTTAGCTATTGCTTTTAAATAATTTAGTTCTTCATCAAGGGATAGTTTGGAGGAGCAAATTTGAAGAGCATGGAAAACATAGGAATAAAGTGAAGCTAACTTTTATTTAATCGGATGATATGATTTTAAAGTGTGGTGGAAGGCAAACCGATGAAGGTTTACAGTAAACCGTAGTACTGAAGTTGGATGTGTTACGTGTGACCAGAATGTCAAGAAACGGAAGATACTCGGATGCTCTGCACATCTTGCTTAAGATATACTTACAACTTTGAATTTTATTGTAGTAAAAGAGATCAGATACCAAGGTCAAGAAAGGGTTTCAGATATGACGTAGTTATGCACTTAACATTTTAAAGAAAGGCCATGAAATCTATTTTGACAGATTTTTCACCAGCGTAGACTTGATGTCTGAGTTATACAAATCTGGACAATGATCATGTTGAACTGTGATGACATATCGGAAAAACATGCCTGAGAACATCAAGCAAATGAAGCTTGGAAATCAATACGACAGCGTAGTTATGCAATCCGAAAGCCTGCCGAATTTACTTTCATCATCCTAGCTTGATAAATAATTGATACATATTATTTCCACAAACTGTAAAAATTAACCATGTTTTACTACAAGAAGAAAAGGCTCTGAAAAACACAGTACCATGCTCACTCCCATTTGTCAAGTATAAAAAAAAAAAAAAAAAAAAATGAGGGAGGTATAGATGTAGCAGAATACGTCAAAAGTATACCAAAATATGTACAATGGGGGATGTACATATTTTGGTTCCTTTTTGACACAGCAGTGAATTATTTGCCTTTATAGTTCATAGAGTCACTAATTATCCAATCCTAAAGTGACCAAAGCAGCTATACGATTTCAAATTAGAATTGACTGAAGAATTTGCATCGCAAAATTCGTTTCAAAAACGAACAGCGGGCATATTTTTGCCTGGTGCATTTCATGATCACAAACATCGAAAAATTAATGATCGTAAACATACTTGTGTTCGATGTAAAGAATTTGGAAGAAAGACAAACTCAGAGAGATATATTGGTGGGGGGGGATTTTTGGGAGTGTGATATATGTAGAATGTGCTTGTGCAAATCATGCTTTTAGGTTTCGAATTTCAGTTATTAAAATGCAAAAGCAAAGTACTTTTCAGGACCATACAATTTCAGGTAGAGTTCTGTTATCAGGACTGGATTCAGAAATTGTATGGATGGATGGATGTGTGTGTTCATGTATGCATGTATAATCATGTAGTATGTGTGTATATACATACTTACTTGTGTATGTATGCATATACAAACACACATGCATACACTCGTATATTTCTGATCCAGTTCCGATTACAGAATAGTACCCAGTTTCAAAAAGGTGAAAATGTTATTGCATCATCATGAAAATGTGTATAAATGTGCGGTGAACAGCAATATGTATATAAACATAGACACATTTCTATATCATACAGTGGATGGACAAAAATATGGAAACACCTTGTGAAATGCATGTTTGAAAAGAAAGATTGATTTTAATGAAATATGTAGGTGGTGCTGGCGTTTTTGACTACTGACGCCACCTATACAACTTCGTAAATGTGCTAAACAGTTCAGTTGTTGTCGGAGTACTGTTATGTGAGGTTGTCATTGCATTATGTCAGAGTTAACAGACTTCGAACGTGGGCAAATTGTTGGAGCACGTATGGTAGGTGCTTCCGTAAGCAAGGTAGCCGAGGTGTTAGTGTTTCAAGAGGTACTGTATCGAAGATTTATTCCGCATATTTGAAAAGCTGAAAAACATCATCTGCTAAATCACAGCGCAGACGAAAGTGTGTCCT